TCATAGCTTCCTTAAAAGTCCTTGGTTCTTCAACCTCCATTAACTCAGCTCATGTAATGCATAGGCCGCAACATCTGAATCATCATATCTACTCGGTGGTTTGATGTTTACTCTTCTTTCTCTATCTCTCGCAAGTAGATAGCTGTCTGAACTTGGTGGAGAATCATCCGATTCTTCTGAATTTTTGTCTATCTCCTCATCTGAAACTACTCCACCTTCACCCGAAGTAGCTCCACCTTGCAGAGTATCCTCATCACTTTTGCTATCAATAACCGGAAAGGAAACTTTCTCCTTTCCTTTCACTTTAACTTCTCCTTCTTTATTGTTAGCAATATCTTTGAATAAAGTATCCTCCCAGAAGACAACATCTCGACTGATAACACATTTCTTCTCATCATAACTCCAAATCCGATATCCTTTCACCCCTTGAGGATATCCCATGAATACACCTTTCTTTGCCCTCGGTTTCAATTTCCCTTGGTCCACGTGATAGTACACTAAACAGCCAAACCTCCTCATATGCTTATAATCAGGTTTCGACCCTGTCCAAATTTGTTCTGGCACTTCAAAGTTCAGAGGAGTGGATGGAGACCTATTTATCATGTATACCACCGTTGATGCAGCCTCTGCCCAAAATGCTTCACCCAAACCTGTCTCACTTAGTAGACTATGAACCTTCTCAAGTATAGTTCTATTTAACCTCTCAGCAACTCCATTCTGCTGTGGAGTGTAGGGGCATGATTTATGTCTCATAATTCCATGAACCTTACAATGATCATCAAATATCTTATTGCAATATTCGAGACCATTGTCGGTCCTTAATGCCTTTAACTTCTTCCCACTTTGATTCTCCACAAACGTTTTCCATTCCACGAACTTGTTGAAAGCCTCGTCTTTAGTTCTGAGAAAATACAACCATACTTTTCTTGAGAAATCGTCAACAAAAAAAATATAGTACTGACATTTAGACAGACTAGGTGTCACATTCGGTGAGCCCCAAAGATCAGAATGAACATACTCCAACTGAACTTTTGAAGTATGCTTCCCAACCTTATATGACAACTTATGGGATTTCCCAAGAATGCAAAATTCACACTGTTTTAGGTCTTCAATGTTAATATCTTTGAGTAACTCCTTCTTGACCAAAACCTGTAATCCTTTTGCACTCATATGACCCATACGACTATGCCAGAGCATTGCTTTATCTGCTGTCGTAATTGCTGCATTAACCTGCTCTTTCACTGGTGTTCCATCTAGGATATATAGAGTATCACGATAGTCACCTGCCAGTACTTCTTTATCCTTGTAAAAGACCTGTAATCTGAAGTTCTTTGACTGAAACCAACAACCTTGAGATTCCAATTGTCCCAAAGAAATCAGATTCCTCTTTGCCGTTGAAGAATACCTGACCTTGGTTAAAATAACACTTGAACCGTTTCCTTTAACAATCTTAATACTCCCTATAGCCGAGATAACACAATGAGTATCATTACCCATTAAGATCTTTCCACCATCAATCTCTTGAATATCGAACATAAGATCCTTCCGGTAAGTTAAATGATACGAGCACCCCGAGTCAAGAACCCAACCATCCTTTGAATACAATTCTGAAGCAGTCAACACTAAGGGCTCGTCATCTATTGACTGTCCAACATTAGCATGAGAATTGCTAGCATGATCTTTCTTTGGACAATCTTTCTTAAAGTGACCTTCAGCTCCACATATCCAGCAAGCCTTCTTATTTTTAGTCTTGGCTTTGCCTTTGTCTTGTTGCTTACCCTTAGAGTTGTTCTTCTTTTCAGGTTGTTGCTTCTGCTGCATATACAGCCCTTCACTCCCTGATTTTGTCAAGTAAGTCCCCTTCTGCTTCATTTCTGTCTCCAAAGAATAGGCTGCAGTGGTGATCTCCTTTAGAGTTATAGTTTGCGTGCCTCCTCTATACTTTAGAGTATGCACCAGTTGTGCGAACTGTGAGGGTAAGCTGTTAAGGAGAATAACGGCTTGGTCCTCATCGCTTAGTTCCACATCAAGACTTGCCAAATCCGATACGAGTTTATTAAACACATCCAGATTTTTGTCTAAATTTTTACCTTCCTCCATCTTGAAGCTGTAGAACCTCTGCTTAAGATAGAATCTGTTAGGCAGAGACTTATCTTGATACTGTGACTCAAGAGAGTCCCACATAGATTGTGCCGTCTGATGTTTCAAGCCAACCTTTCTCAGTACCATGTCCGTTAGGCTCATGCTCAACAGATTCCTTACCCTACTGTCCTTTTCCAGCTTCTTAGGATCCGTTTTTACTTCTTCATCATCAACCTCTTTTCCCTTAGGATCTGAGGTTGAAACCGTACCATCAACGTTTAGAACTGAGTCTAAACCAAGAATCTCGAGCTGTGCGAGAATTCTATGCTTCCATATCGCATAATCACCTTCACCGTCGAATTTCTCGACCTCCCACTTCCCATGCGTAGGCTCAAGCATCTTGATCTGTCAGATCTGAGATCCCAGACTTTGACAATCACAGATTTCAAAAGATGACCAACACACAGCAAGTGATTCACGAACAGAACACCAGAAAACCGTAGAATACCAGAGAAACAAAATACTGACTCAGAAACCAGGTTGATCGATTCTTAATCCCTGCTGAGTCGTTGCTTCTCTGAAACCGATAGATCCTGATGACGGAATACCGAAAGAAGAAGCTCGAACAATCACCTTGATCGCGCCAACCAAGGCTCTGATACCACTTGTAGAGATTCCTGTTCAGCTACGTCCTTCTTTCCCTTAGAATCTAGATCTCATTCGTACTCTTTACTGATTTATGTTCGTATGTGTTTATGCAGAGTAAAACAGAGTATAAGATGGTACACGAGAGTTACAAGTTCCCAAGGCCAAAATCACCGGCCAAGGTACGTCTTGGAGAGCAAAGCCAGCTCTCAAGACATTCACTAAGAATCTGTGTGAGTTACAAGGTGCCTGAGAAGGCTATGGAGCTTTACAAGCAAGAACACTCATGCCTAGATCGAAGAAGAAGATGAGTCTTCTCTCTCTATCCGTATTCTCTCTAAGCTCACTCTCTCTCTCTATCTCTTCACCTACTCACACCTACTTGATTCTTATGCCTTACTTGTCTTATACCTGTGCAGATTCCAGCTCGTCACACTCGAGCTTGTTACTCTCTCAACTAATTGTAACTAACCTTATCCGAAAGGTTCACTGCACCAAGACACTTGACTCAAACGACATTCCACCGTGCGTTTTCGTCTCATTGAGCTGATTCCTGGACCTGATGCTTCCTGGGCCTTTCCTGTGATACACACACAAGCCCAACACCAATCCCTCAGCCCAATCTGAATGTAAGCGATCTCTCACAATGTGAAAACCTCAAATCATGATAAATTGATAATTCGCTAGACGCAGAATGCTCTGATGGTTGAACCAGTGCCATTTTATAAATGTAAGATATACAGTAAAAACAAAACAAAAGGAAACAAACAAAATATGTGAACCGGCGTTGTTATGCAGCATTCGTCATCCACAAATGTGGAGATCCAGTCAGATTGCGTCCAACCCACAACGCCAACTTTTCTTTAGTGAAAAAAAGAGTCTTTATAAGCTGGCTACGTGGATCTCAAAGCACATTGCTCTCGCGTATAAAGACAATAAGATAAGCTTGCACTAATAAGTGCACTAACGTATGCAAAGTGCACGGAGCCTATAGGCCCTGAGAGTGTCAATATAATAAAAACACATAATAAATCTCGTGGAATATACAAATTCATCTACAAAGACAAAGTCACCTCAACTATCGATTTTAGTGTTTAGATGGCGAAGAAGGTGTATACACACGTGAGAGCAATGGAAACATTTTTAGTCCTCAGTCTAGATTATATGGTACTTATGGTCGCTAGATCACTAAGCCTTTCAGGTTCTGCAGTTGCTTTCAGAGCTTCAAAATCGTTGTCAGGGTTACAATTATAGAATGCCGTCACACATTCAATTGTTCTGAATTAGATAAAGAGCCCACAAACCTGTCTCGACAGTTATGTTTCAACTGAATGGATTTAGACCTGAGATATAGTAAAACGTTTCAAAGCATGAGACTCCAACTACGTACTAGTCCCCAGACAGAACAATCGAATAGCCGATGGAACCCTTTACTGTTCTTTCACATTTTCATTAGAACAACACAAACAGAACACACCGTTTTTTCTGAGCATCGAACACACCCGGACATTTCTCAAATTTTGTACCCCAGAGGAAAAAAACATAAATCGAGTTTGTATAAATGGATAGGAGGATGAGAGGCAACATGTTTACAAAATTGATACCAGAAATGTTACTAGAAACCTCTGTAAAAATGTAAAAGAAAAAAAGGCTAGGATATTCATCAATTCGAAATCAAATGCTAAACCACGTTGCAAAAAAATTATCTTCTATTGTTTGGTTTATTCTGTAGTACTAAGTATTTATATTGTTAAGAAAGACAAAAAAACAAATAAATTGTTAAGATTGACCCCGAGCATCATCTCTACCGTCCATTTACCCACTCGTAAGCACAATTTTTGTTTAGTTCGATTATCAAAGCCGAAAATTCCATGAGCTGGACTTAATTGAATTTATTTGAGTCAAAACATAAACTGGTTTATGAGGCCCAATCTTACTTTTTGTCAACATCTTCTTTACTCTTTAGTCTTTAGTATTGTTCATCTGCTCTGTTTCTCGGTCAACGTGCACGTTCTTGTGGTTTAACCGGTCCGATGAGCTTAACCGGTTTAATTATTTCGATGTATTTTGTATAGAGAGAGATTGTGTACGAGTGCGCTTTCCCTCCACACCAGTCTTTTGTATCTGAACCGAAACGCAACTCATTCCCTCGTTTTCTTCTTCTCTTCCACCGTCTCTTTTTTTTTTTTTTCCTTTTGTTCTCCTCTCCCGCTTTTTTTTTTTTTTCGTTTCGACGATCTGCTCACATCCTCTTCCCGGAATCTCCCCGATTTCCCCCGCGGATCTTCCTCCGAAACCTTTTAGGTTCTCTGGTTGTCGAAGATCCGAATTCCTGGAGATTATTTTCGAGGATTTTCTGTTGCTGGTGGATTATCGAGATTCGAGAAATGTCGGAGTCGGATTCTGGAGATTCTTCTAAATCTGCTGTAAGTTTAGTGTCAATCGTGGCTGTGAATTTTTCAAGTGCTTGTTATAATTCTCGTGTTTCGATTTTGAGGCTTGATTAGTTAGATGGTGATATCATCGTGTGAAATTCTGATGAGAATTGAGCTGGGATCTGCTTCCGGCGGTGTAATTGCGTTTGGCGTCTTTGATTGGGCTGGTTTACAGTATATAGATATAATATTGCAACTTATTATTGTCTTCCGAGTGCTTTAGTTGCTGGACTAGGGCTTTTGGTGTTCTGTTCTTGCTAATTAGAGCAGATTTATGTTTTTTTGTATCTATCAAGTTAATTTACTGCTCGAATTTTGCTATGTTGGACTTGGAATTCGTGGTTTACTCTGCTTTTAGATTCAGCTTAAGTTACAGTATGGTGTTGATAGATACGTTAGAGGTGACATACTCTATCTCTAATTAAGCTGCCTGCTTGACGCATTACTCTCCATAACTGCGTGTTCCTGTTGATGCAGGTACAAAAGAGAGGGATATACGATATCACCAATGTGTTAGAAGGAAGAAGTTTGGTAAAGAATACGCTCAAGAACAGGATTCAGTGGAAGTAAGCATTTGATCCGAATATCAAATCTTGGATTCGTTTGATTTGATGCCTCATGTGTGAGTCACGATTTCCTGAGTTTTCTTTTGTCTGTCGTAGGGGTCTTGATGTATCAAAACCAGCGGAAACAATCAAAAACATAGCTAACCTACAGGTATAGAACATGCCTATCTATTCCTTTACCTGTCAATGATATGTTCCACTGCAAGTATTATCACCAGTTTTATTGATGTATTCGAGTTTGTAGATGTTAACTTACATTATCTTCTTGATCATCGTATGAAACTGCATTACTATGGTTTTTCTTGTTAGTTTTCTTTGTGACCTAGACGCGTTAGGGGGATAAGACTAGAAAATATACCATGAACACAAACATCGAAGACGTATAACCATGTGACTCTATTTTTTGTTTCTCATACAGTCTAATTACACAGATGTTGACTAAGTCAATAATTAGTTACTGCATTTCATTCACTTGCATTTTGTTTTGATTCTCTGTTGGAAAAACTATTTGGATCAAGTTCCCATTACCAGCTTTAGTTTGACATTTAGGCATCCCTTGATCTTTTACAGGATGAAATACAAAACCTCACAGCTGAGGAGGAAAAATTAGACGACCAAATCAGGTATTTTTCGTTAATCGTTTTCTTTTCCTTTTCTGCGATTGTTGTATCTTGTTGAGAATCGACCTGATTGCAGAGAATCGCAAGAAAGATTAACAAGCTTAAGCGAGGATGAAAACAATAAAAGGTAAGCTTCTATTGTCATTTCTCCTGGAGCAAGGCACCATAAAACATATTTCTTTGTTCTGACTCTCCACTTTTTAGGTATCTGTTTGTTACTGAAGACGACATTAAGAACCTACCATGCTTCCAGGTTTGGTTTCCTACGAGTAATTACGTGTTCCTCTTTCCTTTGCATTCGGTCAGTTTTGAAATTGATTTTGTGGCTTGTCTCATGCATCTCTTAGAAGAAAACGCTGATAGCTGTCAAGGCACCGCATGGAACAACTCTTGAGGTGCCAGATCCTGATGAGGTAAGCTTGAAGAGCACACAAAACTAAATGAGCGAAGCACAGTCTGTAGTAATTTACATATCTTATCCTTCCCTTAATCAGGCTGCTGGTAGCCCTCCAAAGTGTCTGGAGAACGATCCAAAAGGGGGTTCAAAGCACAGTGAGAACTCCATTCAAGGTTCAATGGGTCATGAGACGCCACAAAAGGGTACTCCTGATTGTTCTGAAGCTCAAACAAAGCTTCCTAGTATGGCAACTGAGGAAAAGCATGGAGGTCGTACGGGTGCTAATAGACAGGTGAACATTCTGAGATTGTCAAGAATTGTGCTGAAGTGAATATCAAAATCACTGATATGGAATTTGATTTTGGTGAACAGGTTGATGGCGAGGGACTTGATGAATCAAAAGGAACCGAGAACAGAGTTTCGTCTGGAGATGAAGCAAGAGAGTGCCATAAAAAGACAGAATCACCTGCGTCACAGATACCTTTGGAGTTACTCGTGGATGAGATCCTTGAGAGATTGCCATTTGAGATTCGAGAAATGTCTCAGCAGGATTCTCGAGATTCGTTTGAATCTGCTGTAAGTTTATTGTCAATTTTGGCTGTGATTTGTGCTCGTTATAATTCTCGTGTTATAAATGGTGATCATCGTGTGAAATTCTGATGAGAATTGTGCTGGGATCTGCTTCCGGCGGTAATTGCGTTTGGCCTCCTTGAGTGGGCTGGTTTACAGTATATAGATTTAGCATTGCAACTTATCATTGCCTGTCCGAATTTTGCTATGTCGGGCTTGAATCCTCTGCTTCTTAGATTCAACTAAGTGACCGTATGATGCTGATAGGATACGATTATAGAAATCAAGCGTGTAGGTTATCTACTAATTAAGTACTATTTAGTGGTTTCAGCTTCTGCTATTCATCTATTAAAGCTTGTTTTCCACTTTGGTGTATTAACTGTTCAATTTTGTTTTCCACTTTGGTTTATTTAACTGTACAATTCTGGTGTCTTTGTTGGCAGCTGAAGCGCAAGACAGATATGGTAAACCAGATAGATGAGCCCAATGAATTGAATAGCGGTGTTCTCCAAACACTTGTATCAGGGAAAGGAGGGAAGGCCAATATATTGTATAGGTCAGTGAAGTCTAATGAAACTGGAACGCAAGCTTCTGGTTCTAATGCAGGTGAGTTTGTTCTGAATGCTCTGTGTTTCCTCTCTAGATATTGCGTATGTGCTCATCTGAGCTAAACATTCTCTATTGGTTTCATCTATTTTTTTGTCTAACAATTCAACAATTCATGTAAGAGAGAATGGGACCCTTGCAATGTAGTGAGAAGGATCTTTTGTGTTGGCAGGTTTTCCTGGACATAACTTTGCGCAGGCTGGTACTTGTCGGTATGATAGTTCTCTAGGTAATAACTTATTGCACAAACTTATGTTTGGCGGAAAGTACTTTTGGATAATAAGCTTTTTTAATGATCTAATCTGCTTCAGGTCTTTTGACAAAGAAAGCCATCAATTTGATAAAAGAAGCAGAGGATGGTATCCTTGATCTAAATAAAGCAGCTGACACTTTAGAGGTGACATACTCAATCTCTAAGATTGTCAAAAGTTGTGCTGAGTTGAATATCAAAATCACTGATATGGAATTTGATTTTGGTGAACAGGTTGATGGCGAGGGACTTGATGCATCAAAAGGAACCGAGAACAGAGTTTCGTCTGGAGATGAAGCAAGAGAGTGCCGTAAAAAGACAGAATCACCTGCGTCACAGATACCTTTGGAGTTACTCGTGGATGAGATCCTTGAGAGATTGCCATTTGAGATTCGAGAAATGTCTCAGCAGGATTCTCGAGATTCGTTTGAATCTGCTGTAAGTTTATTGTCAATTTTGGCTGTGATTTGTGCTCGTTATAATTCTCGTGTTATAAATGGTGATCATCGTGTGAAATTCTGATGAGAATTGTGCTTGGATCTGCTTCCGGCGGTAATTGCGTTTGGCCTCCTTGAGTGGGCTGATTTACAGTATATAATTTAGCATTGCAACTTATCATTGCCTGTCCGAATTTTGCAATGTCGGGCTTGAAACCTCTGCTTCTAGATTAAACTAAGTGACCGTATGATGCTGATAGGATACGATTATAGAAATCAAGCGTGTAGGTTATCTACTAATTAAGTACTATTTAGTGGTTTCAGCTTCTGCTATTCATCTATTAAAGCTTGTTTTCCACTTTGGTGTATTAACTGTTCAATTTTGTTTTCCACTTTGGTTTATTTAACTGTACAATTCTGGTGTCTTTGTTGGCAGCTGAAGCGCAAGACAGATATGGTAAACCAGATAGATGAGCCCAATGAATTGAATAGCGGTGTTCTCCAAACACTTGTATCAGGGAAAGGAGGGAAGGCCAATATATTGTATAGGTCAGTGAAGTCTAATGAAACTGGAACGCAAGCTTCTGGTTCTAATGCAGGTGAGTTTGTTCTGAATGCTCTGTGTTTCCTTTTTTTTGTCTAACAATTCAACAATTCATGTAAGAGAGAATGGGACCCTTGCAATGTAGTGAGAAGGATCTTTTGTGTTGGCAGGTTTTCCTGGACATAACTTTGCGCAGGCTGGTACTTGTCGGTATGATAGTTCTCTAGGTAATAACTTATTGCACAAACTTATGTTTAGCGGAAAGTACTTTTGGATAATAAGCTTTTTTAATGATCTAATCTGCTTCAGGTCTTTTGACAAAGAAAGCCATCAATTTGATAAAAGAAGCAGAGGATGGTATCCTTGATCTAAATAAAGCAGCTGACACTTTAGAGGTGACATACTCAATCTCTAAGATTGTCAAAAATTGTGCTGAGTTGAATATCAAAATCACTGATATGGAATTTGATTTTGGTGAACAGGTTGATGACGAGGGACCTGCAGATGAAGCAAGAGAGTCGGAATCAGCTGCCACACAGATACCTGTGGATTTACTCATGGCTGAGATCCTACCGAGATTGCCATTTGAGTCTTTCTTGAAGTTCCGAACAGTATGCTTTAAATGGGACTATTGGATCATGTCTAAGGAAGTGATTTCCCGCCAACTGGATCGGTCTTCACAAAGATTTTTGAGAACAGAAGAGCTACTCCATATGGTCAATCCTATCGATCATTCCGTGGCATCTACGAACATCCCGGACTTCATTGAGCAAGGCTATTTCATATCGAGCCTCATCCATTGCGATGGCCTCTTTTTGTGTAACCATTCAAACAGTAGGACTGCGGAGGATAGACTTTTCCTGTGGAACCCGTTTAGGAGGCTTTCAAGATGGATTCCCGATCCTGACCCCTCATGGAAACTTAAAGTTGTTGTCGGCCTTGGGTATAAAGTGCGTCACTATTTCCAGATTGTGAGAATTTGGCAAACAGTGGGTGAAGACGAGGAGGGGCCACTTGAACTTAGGGCTGATGTATATGATACTAAAGCTAAGAATTGGAGAAGACTGAATGATGCACCATTATGGGAATTTGAGATTACCGGATCACAAGGTTTGTCCATTAGAGGAAATATGTTCTGGGCTGCTTGGACAGAAGAAATATTATCCATTGTCTCCTTCAACTTCACTGAAGAAGCATTCAGCATCGTGTGCCCATCCTACAGGGTGTAAGCACGATGTCCTATCACCATATGGGGACAGGCTTTCCCTTATGCATCGGCGATTTCCTGGTATAGATATTTTGGTGACAAACCCACTGTCTTCAGAAAATGTCCATTTTGCCCCTTATCTACAAATCACAGTAGATATACCGCTAGTGGAGGCACATATTTCTCATCCCGTTTTCTACATCAAAGACCCAGATTGTGTTTATCTGATGTGTATAGAGGATGGTGAAGAAGGCATAGAGGTTGGTGAAGAAGGCATAAAGGATGGTGAAGACGAGTATAGAGTAAAAGGCAGTGTCGTCATCAACCAGTTGGGCAGGGAGGGATTGTTGCACCGGAAGCCACTGCTGCACCACCCAACTCAGGAGCCACCCATGTGTGGATATGTCTACCAACCTAGCATGATACCTGTCCCTAACCTCCCTCAAGGTGTTGATTTACTATATTGATAGGTATCTGGAAAATACTCTCTCTTTTATTCTGGAACATAATACTTTGATATTGCTGGTGTTTTGCTTTGTGGTTCTAAAAGCCTGAGACTCCTTAATTTTGTTGTACGCTCTCCTGGAATACATTTGATGCTATTAGTGAGGTAAGAAACAATTTAGACTCTTGCAGATCAATTTTAGGTGGATTATTTCGTTTTTCCATATGCCATATAAATGACTCAAACAAACAAGCAGCTAACATTGTGGTATCTTAAAGGGCTCTCTGCCATATTAATATACTTCTCATGGTGAGATAGGCAGAGAATAAAATAATACTTTGATACTATACGAAGCCTTTGGAAATATCCCATGCATTCGCATTCCTTTTAACGGGACTGTGTGTTTATTCTTGCGGAATATGTTAGCATTCTATTCTCTATAGCAAACCCAAACTATCGAATCAATCACGTATACTGCTTTGCTGGTTTATTACTCAGATTTGTACTATGGATTAAAACTTAAAAAAGAAAGCTTGAGGTCTTGCAAACGCCTGTAGGAAATGTGTCCCTGTTAGAAATGTGTCCCTGTAGGAATATGTTAGCATTCTATTCTCTATAGCAAACCCAAACTATCGAATCAATCACATATACTGCTTTGCTGGTTTATTACTCTGATTTGTACTATGGATTAAAACTTAAGAAAGAAAGCTTGAGGTCTTGAAAATCCCTGTAGGAAATGTGTCCCTGTTAGAAAATGTCTCATCATTTGATTCTGTAGCAGCTCAGTGATAAGCTGGTTTTGTAACAATAACAAGTCAAACGACCAGTACTTTTCCTCTCTGGACTGCAAGATGAGATGGTCCCTCCATTTCACATGAAAATTGTAAGCCGAAGCGTCCTACTTGCATTCCCATTTTTTTTATGCTCTCACATTTTCATGCAAAATGGCTTATGAATATTTGAATATACTTGTTTGGTTTTTTTTTTCTATTTTCACCTCTGTCATCTTGTTTCTCCACAACGCTATACGAAAGCTCTTACTGAATCAATACAGAAGCCAAAACAAAAGATGGATATGTTAACCAGAGTAAAGTCTTTCATTTTCCATTTATCATCTTTTTTTTTTTCTTTTGATTTTTATTTATGTATATGCTGCAGGCTCTGAAGAACAGTAATTATAATGATGACACACTGTTGCAAGAATGTGGTGTCCGAATTGGCTCTGAGTTCCCTCAAGTGGAAGGCCGCGTACTACCAACACCAAATGTGATTCTTCTAATTCATTTTTGGTTATGGAAGATTTGTTGTTATAATTTATTGTCTGGGCTCTGGTTTTTAGAAAAAAAAAAATATCCTAAAACAGCTGAAAGTGGGCAATGGAGAGGACCTTTTGCCTAGAGATGGGAGTTGGAATTTCAATAACAAGGTCTTGTTGCTTCTGCATTAGCTGTTAAGCTTCACAGATGTTTGAAAACTTCAAATACTTCATTCAAAATCTCTTCTGCAGAAAGTTTCTGAGCCAGCCACATTTACTAAATGGGCTGTTGTGAACTTCTCTGCTCGGTGTGACACGCACATGATTGTTCGTGATTTAATCTGTAGGTGAAAGGAATTGTAAGCTTTTTTTTATTTCTTCATCAGGATCATTGCTTGCAGTAAAGAACACCAATCACAAAACTCTCTCTGGTTTCTTTTATTACTCAGGACATGGTTCCTCCATTAGGTGTCTTTGAAGAAGGTCATCGGTTTAAGGATGCACCTGGTTCTGTAAGAGTGGAGAAGATGTTTGAAGATATGAAACCGAAATTCCGGGACCAGGACTGGGGAAAGCCTCAATTCCTTCTTTGCATACTCTCAAAATGGAAAAATTCTGATGTTTATGTTAACACTAAGCAGTTAATATTACTTGAAACATACATAGATAATATACTTTTGTTTTTATAAACATATATATGACTGCAGTCTCTGAATAATTAAAATCTCTTTAGGTCCTTGGAAAAAAGAAAACTCTTTGTGAAGATGGAATTTTGAATCAGTGTATTTCTCCTCCGGACAACGTAATGGATTAGTATCTCAACAAATGTTCTCCTCAAGATTTTTATTTTTTTGAATTGAATGTTCTCCTCAAGATTAATGCTAAGGTAATAATCTCTTTAGACTCAATCACAGCTTTTACTGGTATGTATGGGTTTGGACCGTTTGGTATGGTCAAATATACATTTTTCAATTAAACAAGTTGGAATTCATATGATATCATTTTTAAATAATTAAGTGTATGTAGTTTCTGATACAGTAATCTTAAAATCTGTTCCATTTTCTGTGTAGCTTGTTAGCTATTGAGCAATCACGAGGGATCCCTGCGGTAAGGACAGTTCCTAGCATCATTATTGGGATGGATGTATCTCATGGTTCTCCAGGGCAGTCTGATGTACAATCTATTTCCGCGGTAACATTGATATTCTTGCATTTTTTAACTGTTAATATCTTGTGTTGTTCGCTTATAATGTCTGGAATGAATAGGTTGTGAGCTCCAGAGAATGGCCCTTAATCTCAAAATACAGGGCTTGTGTGCGTACACAGTCCCCTAAAGTCGAAATGATTGATAATCTCTATAACCGCGCCTCTGATACAGATGACGAAGGCATTATGAGGTAATTATATTTCAAAATTTGCTTTAGATAGGATTGTGAAAACGGAGTGTGGTTAAAAGACTCAATGCTGTTTTACAGGGAGCTCTTGAAAGATTTTGAGTCTTGCTCTGGAAGGAAACCCGATCACATTATCATTTTCAGGTATGCATGATATAATCTAGAGATCTTGTGAGAGTAGTTTAATACAAACTCAAGTAGAATGATAATACATGTAGGGATGGTGTGAGTGAATCTCAGTGTAACCAAGTTCTTAATATTGAGCTGGATCAGATGATGCAGGTAAGGATATATTTTTGCTTTTAGAACATTTAAGCTCTTAAGATTTAGCCTATGTTGGACACTTATGGTTTTAAGTAATTTCGGTTAACATTATAAGGCGTGCAAGTTTAAAGATGAGAATTGGGATCCCAAGTTTACAGTGATCATTGCTTAGAAAAAGCACCTTACCAGGTTCTTCCAGAACAGTAGTCCACAAAACATTGTAACACTTGGAAGAAAAAAAATACAGAAAACCTGTTTTCCTCCATGTCTTACTCTGTTCTTACCTGTTTCCATCTATTGCTATTAATCATAGATTAGTCTCCTTCAATTATACTCCCTCCGTTTCACAAAGAGTGTCGTTTTAAGGTTTTATTTTTGTTTCACAAAGAGTGTCGTTTTATATTTTCAATGCAAAATTTTAAACAATATTCCAGTTTTAACCCTATTAATTTAATGTATTTACTAGATAAAAATAAATCATTTAATGTATTAATTAGGACAAAGTTGTACTTTTAATAATTTTCTTAATATGTGTGAAAAATGTCAGAATGACACTCTTTGTGAAACGGAGGGAGTATTAACTCTACGACTTTTGCAACCAAGAAACTTGAACACCATTTCTCTTGGAATTATGCCACACCAATTAATAACAAATACAAAAAAAAATATTTCTAAAAGATTAGGAAAATTTTTATACTTGTAGTGAACAAACTAGTAACTAGTAAGAATCACCTGAGCTACGGCTCTGCTATCTGAATCTATGATGTTGCAAGCTCGATCTGCGAAAGAGCCTTTGACCGACTTCTGCATTCCCTCATTATCATATCCAAAATGTTCAGTGCTTGCACCATTCCTCCCTGTCAGGATATTGAATTCAACGGATACTATATTAACAAAATAACGGTTTACAGTCAGGTTTTGGTGTCTTTTTCAATTCGATTTCCTAACAAGACCGATCCTGAGTTTTGTGTTGCCCCAAGCCCAAAATAAGTTGTGGTGTTTTCAATAATATTATGGGGAACAAAATGAATAGAGAGCTTACACCATTAATGTAGAACGATTACACCAAAAAATTTAAAATGGCTCTAATATTTATTTCGAGAAGTGGTCCCAAAGTTTGAATATAAATTATGGTCCCAATCATACATTTTTTTCCGGCTTGGGCACAGGGTCAGTCTTGTTTCTTAACATATCTATATCCATAAATAAATGTTATCATTACTGAAAACTTAAATTTCCAAAATGGTTTGATTTAAAATATGATAATCTACTCTAGACCACTATTCAATGTTAAGAGATGTCACAAAAACAAGAAAAGTTCTAGTCTCGTTAGCGTAAGACTCATTTGACTGAAATCAAAAAAACATAATCAAAACTATACCATTAACACAAAGTTTATTACCATTTCGCGGATGAGAAGCAAATTATTACTATCACCATTTCTCAAGAGCAGCTTGCCTCTGGTTCCAAGAACTTCACACCCATCAACTCTAAACACTACTTGTTGTTAGCTATTGCTCACCTCGAAATCCTCCTCCGTTCACCATATGCGGTCTTCGCCGCACCACTAGCACCACCTCTTTTTCAGATGAGTATCTCCGGCTCACCACCGATCCACCGCCTTACTGCTTCTCGCACCCATTACATGTAGTTATATACAATACTTGGCCTTTTAATCATTATATATACACTTCATCACTTGTCTAGTCATAGACTTGATTATAATGATGCTGATTAGTGTCAATCTTTGTGACAAAGACTTCAAAAGCTTAAAGATTTAATTAACAGCAAGTTGATTAAATATTGGTGAGAGTGGGCATTTCTAAAGCTAAAATGAGATGCGAACATTTGAAAACCTCATCTCAATGCGCGTATGCGATAGAGGCTTTTTTTCTTTCTTTTTAATCTACATTTTTTTTGTATATTCTCCACTTATTGTCTCGATGAGATTATCCAAGACGTCAACAACAAAAAAAGATACGCGATATATACTTAAATGATGAATACTATAGTGTACCGTTGCCATATCAGTTTTCACACTATATATCGTATATCATGGGGTGTGATTGATAAGTGTTGTATAGCATTTTTACAACACCTATTTTGCAATCAGGTTTTAAGCTGTTGTAAGTGGAATTTCAGTTTATTTTTTTACCTTTATACAACAAAATCAATCTAAACATGGAAGCATAGGTGTTGAAAAAAAAAATGGAAGCATAGGCGGCCCTTTTAACAAGAAAACAAAAAAAAAACATGGAAGCATGAAGCGCTCTTTGGACTTTGGAGCCGTTATGTAAATATCATTTGAAGCCTTAATTTCTCATACTTGTAGGCTTGAGTTGTACATACGTATAGCAATTGTGACGAATTTTTGCTAACACATTTGAGTTATGCAACTTTAGAATCTCGAATCAAAAGTTATGTATATATATACATCATTCTAAATACCAGTCATAATAACAATAAAAAGCTGCATTAAATTTATCATACTTGTACATATAAATAGCAATTGTGATGAGTTTGCCCAACACATTCGTGTCGAGCTATTATTCGTGTAGATAAACATGAAAGTCTTTCAATATGATTCGCACATCATAGTTTAAAAGATAAATGATATAACGTATATATTTGTTCTCGTTTTCTTTAAATAAGATTACGAAGAGTAAATTGTACAAGGATACATTTGTTAATAGTCCCCCACCGATTAAATGGTTATTAAAAATAAGGGTATAAATAAGAGTTCAAATATCAAAGAGACACGGAGTCTTAAAAGGGGCAGAGAGAGGTAAGTAATTATCCATGTCAGGTACCATAATTACTGCTTCTGCCACCCACCTTCCTCTTTCTTCTCTACTATACTCACTCTCTTCTTCTACTCTCTCTCTCTCTTTCTCTCTCTTTCTCTCTCTCTGTCTTTCTTTCTTCCTTTCTTTCTCCTTTTCTTTGCATTGTTTTTCTCACTCGCCGCTTCTTCTTCTTCTTCTTCTTCGTTTCTTGATTTCTCTCGTCGCTGCATGTTTTTCTTTTGACTCTAACCATCTCTGTGGAATTTATACCCGAAGAAGAAAATGATGGCTGCTCCTTCAGGCGGTGGCGGAAGCGTAGGAGCTGGTGGAACAGGTTCGGCTCTTGCTCCGTCGTCTCTTCCGCCGCCTCGTCCGAAGTCTCCGCCGGAATATCCTGATTTGTACGGGAAACGCAGAGAGGCGGCGAGAGTTCAGATGCTAGAGAGAGAGATTGGTTTTCTCGAGGCAAGTACTTTATTAATTACTTATTTTTTTCTTCTATTTTTTTGTTTTTATAAAAGTACTAGTATCTCTCAGTCTCTCTTTCATTTCTTTTTTTAATCTGCCATTTTGATTACTCTGAGGAAGTGTCCGAATATTTTGAATTTTCATGATTCGTTTGTTTTATTAGTCTTAAAAACAAATGGTATGTAGTACTACTGTACTAGCTTGTGATTATAAAACTAATTAATCATTACTAGTCTTAAGTAAATTTTCTTGTGTTAATTAATCTTGTAAGTTGTAACCTTTAAGAGTTTTTTAAAAAATAATTACTAGTAGTATTTGTTTTTTGGTTTTTTTGTTGTTGTTGTTGTGAGAAAAGAGGTTATTGATTTGCCAAAACTTGGTCCCTACTATATCCAGGTTGGTTTGGACTCTGGACCGTTGTGTGTATGTTTGACAGCGATTATAGAAAACAAAGACATTTAGTTTTGTTTATTCTCTTAGATGCTATCAAAAAGAGTAATTAATTTATCTCATCAGACATATTTATATCAAACAAATTTCAAACAAGTACTATGGTATTTTTCTCAAAGGCAGTGAATGCCAAGACTTTTTGCCCATGTCAATTATATTAATTGCATGTTTTCATTAAAATTAATTTGAATCATCTAGTATAAGATTCTTATATTAAAAGTTTTTTAGTTGGGGGCTTTCAACGGATCTATTGATCAAACACTATATTATTTGGTTTCCCATACTTTTAACTTAACCTCTATTTTAACTTCATAAATTTTCAGAATAATAATTTTCACGCTAATTAACTTTCTGTTCTTACACCTTGAAAACTATGTATTTGCAATATAAAATAAATGATTTTTTATCGTCTTGTAGTGTGACGTGATTGATGAGACGCCCATTTACTCTGTTGTTTGCATCACTGAGGAGTATGTGTTCGTGCATGTGTACTATGAAAGTGAGTGCTTAGTCAAAGAGAGTATTAAAAGGAAGATATAAAGAAAAAGATGAAAAGGAAAAGAGAGAAATAGCGAAGCATTAGAGAAGCAAAGTAGAGAAAGCTTAGTGTATATCTTTTAGAAAAAAAAATATTGAATGGTTACCTTCATTAGCAATATTTTTTTGTTTGTTTTTGCTTTTCAATATCAGTAGATTTGTGAAAGTTTTTGTCTTTATTGCTATTTGCGTTTGAAAGGACCATTCTTGTTCACCTTTTCTTCATGTTGCTTTCTCATCTCCCCTATGTCTACTTTACATAACGCATATTTTTCATATATTTGAGAAATTTAATCATTTTCATACTGTGTATGTTTTGTTGCTCCTGCGAAGTTATAATGTTAAATTCTTCTTGTGTTGTGTTTTGTATCATTATTAAATTAGCTTTTGTTCTATTTATTTAAACAAGTCACTTTCGGTTAGTTAATGAAGTTTCTTAATCGATATTTTCGAATGTTATCATGAGCAGGGTGAAATTAAATTCATCGAAGGCGTACAACCAGCTTCTAGATGCTGCAAGGAGTAAGATGATCTCTCTGTTTCTCAAACATTGTATAAATTTTGATTTAGTAAAAGAAATATGTTAATGGAATATATCATCTTTTATGTTATTTGTTTTTATTGTGGCAGGGTCTCTGATTTTGTCGTTGCAAACTCTGACCCATTGATCCCTGCGTAAGAATATTTCTAGTTCACTCAATGACTTCACATATTTCTTACTCTGCCCGCTCTTACAATTCCATGTTTTTTTTTTCTCCATACGGGCAGACAACAAAAGAGTAGAAGACCCTGCCGGTTCTGGAAGTGGCTCTGGTAAGAATTTATCGCCTGAAATTTTCATTTTTCATTGTGATATATATAGACTTCTTTTAGACCAATTTAGCGTATTTTAGACGATGCTTGATCTTGACAAATATATATTTATCTATCTATTTTATCAAAGTGATACTAACAAACTCAAAACTCGATGCAGTAGCGGTATTCCGTGTTTGAGCCTGGCGAGTTTCTGCTGTTGTTGCCAATCCGAGTGTTCGTGCCACCTGAGGAAGCCCAAGTGCTGCAACTGCACAGGTTGCAGCTGCATTGGGTCCAAATGCTGTGACGGGTCGTGCTGCTCAGATATCTGTTGTTGCCCGAGACCAAGCTGCCCGAGCTGCCCGAGCTGCTCGAGCTGTTCATGCTTCCGAGGTTGCTGTTGTTCTTGTCCGGACCTATCTTGCTGCATTCCCACCTGTTTCCGTGGCTGCACTCGACCATCGTGTCTGAGTAAGAAGAAGAGCTCATGCTGCAGCTGCAACTGCAAGATCAGATGGTCTTCTTGTTTTAGATGTCCCAAGGTACGACTTTGTTGTTGTTTTTGCAACTGTAAAAATCTATGTTCTAATCCATGTTGTTTAGCTTTCTAAAACATTATTAGTATTACTATTGCTATAGCTAATTTTCTCTCTGAGTCATATTTTTGTTCATTTCTTATTTATCTGTTAAAAGGAAGGAAGTCTTTCTTAATTTTTGTAATTAAGTTGTGAATGCTAAAACCAAAAAATAAAATAAAAACTTGTGAATGTTTTTGGTTTTTCTTGTAAGTGATGATTTCCATCAAGCGAGTCTCCCATGAGATATGTCAGTATAAACACAATATCTGAATAAATGACCAGAGAAAAACAAGATACAGTTACGCAATCATAATACTCGTGGTTCGAACAATAGCTTAAGGATAGAAATAAAAATACATAAAGAAAAGACACATGCTAATCTCAGTGACTAATCTACCAACAATATACCTTCGACCAGTCTTCTTTGAAGAGAGTGCTCAAAAAGAAAAGAGATCAATTTAATAACAGTAAGAATGAATCCGATCAAATCTGTCTGTCTCTATTCTTCCTTCATCTTTATTTATTTTATTTTTTTCTGATCAGACTGTTCCAACAGAACAAAATAATGGCATTTTATACCAAAGATTTCAAAAGTATTTAAAAACAAGTGAAATGATATAGTTGTAGTTTTGAATGGATTGAAAATGTGGCCAAATATACACAACTCTCTTCTCTTGGTGGGGCCAAAATAGTTGTTTTTCATTCTTTTAGTATGTTTTCTACTCCTTAGGTGAGTAATTAGAAATTTTGTTTTTTTTGTTTTTTTGTTTTTGCTTTCTCTCAACTCTTTTTAAGAGAAGAGAAAACCCCGAAACTCTATGTGATTGCCTGATTGGTATGTATCAACCGATAGTAGACGAAATCCAACTACCCGATATATATTACAATTCTTTGCGTTTTCATCAAATGCCATGCATTATTCCAAGCATATATTATAATAATATCACTTGTTATGAACTTATGGTATTATATCTCGTCAATTTTACCCATCAACATAACATGGCTTTTACGGTTTTTTTAAAATATAAAAAAGGTAAACTTACACGTTAAAATAGCTTACGAATTATTCTTTGAAGTAACTCATTATAACAAATATGTCAAATATTCAACAAAAAGGTCAAAACACTCGTTATATCATTTGTTTTGTTTAGATTTATCGTGTTATCATTGTTTAGAATAACCTGTCTCAACGTTACATATATATATTTTAAATCACATGCACAAGGTAATATATTATATTTTAAAATATATTGGGACATCAAGTGTCAACGCCTATTGTTTGAGTTGAAAATTTTGTACATGTTATATTTCCTATGGAGACTCTCCCACCCATTTACAAGACATTTTCTTAAAAAAAAAACAAATCTGATCTTGCAAAGTTGGTAATTTTAAAACTATTTTTTTGGATCCATTGGTACATAGCTTATTAGCTCAAAGGACAATATACACTTCACACTTGCATTGTCTACTAAATCGATTAGGTAATGATATCAAGTTCGTCACGATTTGGTTTGTAACAGTCTGAAATCAATCAGAACTGAATACCAAAATTATAACCAATTTATAACGATATTCGTAGGACACAACTAGATACAAAATTGACGAAACATCTATAACAGAGGATCCGACATAACATTCATTGCTTTTGTCCGATGGTTATCCAATAAGATCTTAGAGATATTTGTATTAATTGCTAAACTATATTCTTTTTTTGATCAAAGAAGTCAGAGAGAATAATTCGGCAGAGGTAAAAACGATAGTAGATAGATTTCATGGTGAAAAAGAAAAAGATAAAATCGAATATGTTTGCGTAATAATTGATCAAGGGTTTCTGGGTTTGTACGGTACGGATCCAACTGTTGATCAGAAGTCAGAAGCGAAGGTCTTTTCTACTTTTTTTTTTGCTTTTTTTCTTCTTTCAGAGTTTTTATTGTATTTAGAGGTCCCATTAAAGACTGAGGTGTTGTCTATGTCAAGAGGGAAAAAAAAAGAGGGGTCGAAAACGAAAATAGAGGAAATTTAGGGTACAAAAAAGTGTCAGATATGAGAGGAAAAACAGAGGAGTGGACCTCTCTGCAAAGAAAAGTGCTGGAAAAATTATTAAATGCAACTTGTCAATTTACATATGGCTCGATGCATTATGTGAATTATTATTTACTGACACTCTTCGCTTGTTGTCGTCGATATTCATATCATTCATGTTTTTACAATAATTATATTCCTAGTAAAAATGTCTACTGATCGAGATGTCTTCATAATTAGCTTACTCTTAATTCCAGATATAAAATTGATATGATTTAGTGGTAAGATAAGACTAATGGAGGAGACTCTAATTGAATTCTTGTACATTTTCTTGTATATCCCTTACTGTTAGTATTGTTTTGTATTTTTTCACTTGTTGCTTAGTTTTGTTTTTCATATGCATGTATTTCTTTGTGGGCTTCTCAGTTTTGTGCGTTATTTTTCTAATGGGCCTAACTTACCTCTTTATTATTGCGTGAGGTCCAGTTTTTATGTTAACAAACCTAGTAGAGTTCAATCCAACCTGATTGGACCAAATTTCTTTTTTTTGGGTCAACGATTGGACCAAATTCAAGATGCCCATGCATTAACCAAGGTTTTTTTTTTTTTTTTGAGTAATATATCCAAATACCAATTGCCTTAAACAAAAAAATCATGTTTGTTTTTCATAGTCTAGAACTTATACAAGCATATCATCAGATTTAAATCCGGATTATAACCCGATAGTACAAACTAGTAGACTATAAATGTGAGAGTTTGTTTTTACAGTCTTCAATTTGGGTTAGAACTTACATGGCAGTATTTGGCAAAAAAAACTTACATGGCAGCAAATTTTTTACAAAATGCTAGAGTACAATGCGTAAAAGAAACACACAGATTAAAAATCACGATGCCCATGAAAAGAGAACATGATAGTAATTAAATGCCCTGAACAAGAGGGAACGTTGAAGAGCCACACAAATTTAAAGAGATGATGAGACGAAAGGATAAGAAACTGTGCAGAGGAGTCCAAATTAGAGAAGGGATCAAGGGAAGAGACATGTTTGCTCTTTACTAAATATTGGACCACACCAATCTCTCTTCTTCTCCATTCCTTTCGATTTTTCCATATCTTCTTTACAAAAATATCCAATAAAAAAAGCGGCTCCTAGATATTTTTTCTTCTTTGAACCACCATTGGGAGCTTCTAACAGTTTTTACCTTTCAAGGTTCGAGTTCTTACAACCTTTTATACCTTTATTCTATAGAATATCCTCAAAATAATATTCATAATGAAGCTTAATTAAGTCATACTAAGAAGTAGATGAGGTAGCTAAACCAAGTGAGTCTAATGCTTACTCAGTTAATCTTTTGGTTGCCGATTGCTTTTAATTTCATAAGTTTTCACAAAATCCTAAACTAAATGCCACTGATTGAAATATGATGAGTCATTGAAGGAAAGGACAAATGTCTCTTGTATATATACTACTATCATGTTTTGCTTTTGATATGAAATTCTTAAACATACTTGTCTAGAATTTAGGTCTCTAGGCGCATTATTAGACTCTCATGAAACAGTTGATTACTTTTACTCTTCTGCCAGTTGAAGAGAACTATATATCGTAAAAAGTTAAGTTTAAATCAAATTATCACCATTCTCCAAACTGACAAAAATCTCTGACATGATACCCCATCACAGCCAAGTGGACTTTTCCCCCACGTACGTACACCAAAAGTTCACATGCATGCAATGCTAACAAAAAAAAAAGGTTCGCTCTCTGGCTTGCTTCAAGACCATCCTCACGTTAACCATATCAATCTCTTTTTACGTCTCTATATAAACCAGACGGCCTCTCTTTCTTCCTCACAACTTCAAGACTCTTGTCTAAATCTATCAGAAAAAATGAAAATGATGATCCATTTTTTCCTCATCATCTCCCTGGTTTCATCCACCTCTTTTGCCTCTGTTCAAGACTTTTGTGTGGCTGATCCAAAGGGCCCTCAAAGCCCATCAGGATACTCTTGCAAGAACCCTGACCAGGTCACCGAGAACGACTTTGCATTCTCCGGTCTCGCCAAATCCGGAAACACTTCGAATCTCATTAAAGCCGCAGTGACTCCAGCCTTTGCCCCTGCTTTCGCAGGCACCAATGGACTTGGCGTCTCAATGGCTCGTCTTGACTTAGCCGGTGGTGGTGTCATCCCTCTTCACACTCATCCCGGTGCGTCTGAGGTTCTTGTAGTCATACAAGGAACCATCTGCGCCGGATTTATTTCCTCTGCTAACAAAGTTTACTTGAAGACTCTCCAGAGAGGAGATTCTATGGTGTTTCCTCAAGGGCTTCTTCATTTTCAGCTTAACTCTGGGAAAGGCCCTGCCTTGGCCTTTGTTGCCTTCGGAAGCTCCTCCCCTGGGCTTCAGATTCTACCGTTTGCTCTGTTTGCTAATGATTTGCCTTCAGAACTCGTTGAAGCCACTACGTTCCTTAGCGATGAAGAAGTTAAGAAGCTTAAGGGTGTGCTTGGAGGAACTAACTAAACTTCTCTTTCGTTTTTTCTAAGTTTTTTTTTAATTCATCGTTGAGCATTATGATTTTTATTTCAACGGTTGTTTTTCGTTTTGAGTTGTGTTCTTTTCGCAATGTTCCATTTGATTGTCTCTTTGGCTTGAATTGTACTAATAAGTAATAAGCATTACATTTGATTGTCTCTTTGGCTTGAATTGTAATAAGAATGTTCCATCTAAGATGCTATTGCATTAAAGCTATACTATAGTCTGCCATTCCATTAGGCATTAGCCATCAACCACCTTGCATTAAAGCATTAAAATATAGTATTCCACCAACAATTGAAAAAAGTGTTAAAAAAGTTCGAAACTGGTCACAATAATCATTGAAGCTACTACAACTCTGGAATCCGGATTCTATTGCTGTCAACAACAAATTCACCCTTTTTAGTATAAAATTGTTTACCTCAATAGAAAATATATAATGTTGAATGTCAATGAGGAAAATTCGTTATAGGTATAGTAGCTACAATGTCCAATATAAGCATAAGGAAGTAAACCAAAAGGAGAGAATGAATTTAACCATACCCAATATTCAAATTGACTAGTCCGAATATTATAGTCAAAATCACTATTTCAATATTTCAGACTTAAAAAGAGCCCAAGTTCAAAGGTTCTTGTGTTTTCCGTTATTTGTTTCATTGATCTATTAACTGCACCACAAACAGCGATTAGTTTGATCCGCAAAACCTAAACTACACGCATCAAACAGATGCAACATTGAAGTACAATTAACCACACCACATAACATTATATTAGCATCAAAAACACAAAGTTAGACACAGACTAGTTATTGTTTTCTTTCTTCCCATCTTCAGTTTCACTTTGGCATGATCACATTCGGGTTTCGCACGTGTGTGTTAAACTTTCCCATTTTCCCAAGCTCTTTCCATTTAGACCCAGAGCCAGAAACACTCCACAGCTTATCACCAGGCTTTGCAGAAGCCGATTTTGGTTTCATAAGAGGAAGCTTGTTGTTCCCTTTCCCCATCCCATTAGCCATCAACCACCTTGAGCCAGCCTGCACTTGCTGCTGCTGAGCCGTGATTCCCCATGGCTTCTTATCGGTCTCATTCTTCATGCCCGTTAGATGCACCTCTGAGATTTTGTACTGAGGGATTCCATGTTCCTCCAACATCGTTTTCTCTTCTTTGACTGCCTCACTGGCCTCTTCCTCTTCATCGGTTTTCCTCAGCTCTGAAAGTGTACTGTATATTATGGGCTTTGGAGGGAGAAACAATCTCTCAACCTGGATTAGAGAAAGCATAGGAGCTCCAACTGGTTCATAGTTTCTTAGCGGATCTCGGAGTTGCACCATTAGTGCTACGGTGAAGTTATTCCCCAGTAAACCGCATTTCCTTCCTTTTTTTCCTTTTCGCTTCTCCCCTTTTGATCCTTCACGGATAAAATTTAGTGGGTTTGCATGATGAGCAGCCAAGATTTTTGACGTTTGCTCATCTATTTCGTCTTCGTCGCCAATGTCACCTGAATCCAACTTCATCCACTCATCAAGAGTCAAGGAGAGACCCATTAATCCATCATCATCATCATCTCCGCCATCCTTTATGTCCATAAGTTGTAACCCGGCAGCTCCTTCTAGACCAATGCACCCGTTTTTCCCCTGGAAGGCTGAGATCTCTCCAATAGATTGCGCAGTGATCTCCGAGGGTGCATCCTCATCTGACATTCCTGATTGTATTCTCAATCCTTCCAAAGAAAGTGCTTCAATCTGATCCATAGCCAAAGGAGCAAGATCTTCAAGTGATACATACTCCGACCCAAAGTTATTGTTGCAAGAGCTTGAACCAAACTTTTTTGGCTTAGCTGCAAATGATGCTTGTCTTTCAGCTCCCCTCACAAAACCACTTGCATCATCAGATTCATGCTGTGATATATGATCCCTGCGTTGAGAAGAAAAACCAAAAAAACCCAACTTGTAATAAAAGCTGATTCAAGCGCAATTATCAAGTAAAGCTTTCCACAAATCAAAACGAGTGATGATAAGATTGATGCAAACCTGTCAATACCGTCAATTGCAGGTGAAGTTTCCCACAACACCTCTTCCATGGTTTTCCCTGTTATATCGTCCAACGGCATTACTTTATTCGCCTGCATCGAGAGCTTCTCAATTCCCGCAGTGGCCAGTCTCTGAAGTATCTCCATGATACCAGAGCCCATCTCAGCAGGCACCACCACTGGACTTGAAACCTGCATGATCAAGCTGCCTCCAGCCTTTGAGTTTCTGAACAGTAAGGGATTCATTGAACGCAAGAACCCTCCATTCTTTGTCTGCACAACTGGACCCAGGCCATCTCCAAGAGAAGGCAAATCAAATGGCTCCTTCACTGGAACATCAGCTGGATGAAACGCATTACGACCATTGTGAGGCGGAGAGTTCTGAAATGTGTTTTCATTCATTCCCCACTCACGCATCAGAGATTCCGTTTCCAAGCCTTCCAACATTTTGGCCCTGGGGTTGCTGACTCTTGCTTGAGTTTCCAATTGGTACTCTTCTTCTATATCATGAACGAGGGTTGCCAGATCGAAACCTTCTTCGAAATCTGATTCATACTCTTTTGAAAAGTTTTCATCACATTCCATCCCCGGATCATCAGCTTCAATATTAAAATCAAACAAAGAACCGGCCGCTAGAGTTTCCATTTCAAACTCTCTTAGCAGGCGCTCCCTTGGGGACTCAGGTTCACTCTCAGAACTTAGACCAAAAGGGCTGTGTTCAATGCCTAGCATGTCTAAGAACTCACTTGCCACAGATTCAGCCACATCTCTTGAACTTGATAATGCTGATTCCTTATTTGGTGTTACAAAACATGTTTCTGCGTCTCCATGGGTTTCTTGATCCTCCTCGTCTTCTGACGCCGTTGTTTCCAACATCTCTACACTTTTCAAAGCTGATTCGAGATCTTTCATTATCATTTCTTTCATGTCTCTCTCACCGTTCACTACTTCTTCATCGTCCCCCGGAACAGTACTTTCCTCTTCCTTTGGAGAAAGATTGCTTCCCTCCCCTGGAGATATATTTTCTGTACCAATTTCAACAACTTCCTCACTTCTGGTAATAGGAACTTCGCCAGCTATCTTTGATATCTCATAAGAAACATCAGTTTCATTCTTGTTTACTAAAGGCTCTTCTGAAGGCAAATTTTCTGTACCAACTTCCTCACTTCCAGCAGTAGGAACCTCTCCAGCTTTCTTTCTATCCTCAAAAGGAACATCAATTTCATTCCTGTTTACGAAAGGCTCATTGCTTTCATGTGCATTAGCTTCTTCGTTTTCATGAGAAACTGACTCAACAGGTTGAATATGTTTAGTGACAACGTCAGATTCGAACGGAGGCTCAGCTTCTGGATCAACCTTCTCCTCATCAAGTTTTTGATACAGAATGTTTACAGAACTGACAAGGTCAGATTGTGCAACTGGAAGAATTTCATGAAGATCTTTGATTTCCTCCACATCCTGGGACAGAGGATGAGAGTCTTTGTTAACAATACTATGATCATAACGCCGAGATGCGGACTTGCCATTCCCTAAACTAGACTTTGTACTGGTAGTTCTTGTCAACCCAGTGTTATTGCTAGTTTGTTTTGCATTTGAAACACCGCGAAAATTCTGAACACTACCCGATGAAGCAGGGGTACGAGTATCCCCAACAACAGTGTACCCAAAACTGATGCTAAGAGTAGCACCACTAGCCTTTCCAGTCAACTGAAATGTTGTTGACCAATTACCAGAGCTCTTCTCATCCTGCAACTCCTCAAGTGTGAGAGGAAGCAATCTAGTGAGATCCATCCGATGTTTTCCCAGATCAACCTCAGGAGATCCAACCAGAGAGGCATACAACAAGAAATGCTTAGCTTCATACTTAGCTGAGTGATGTTGTCCACTTCGGCTTCCATAAACTGAGCATGTATGTGTCATCTTGTCCTTAAAATCAGCTCTTCCATTTAAAACTTTTGCAGGACGAGTGCTTAAAGATTCATCACGACGTTTCCAGTGAACAGTAAGATAAAGATCCTGGAATATCGGGGGTAACCCGTCAATAGAATGGACTTGGGCAGAGAAACAACAATTGAATCGGCGGTTGCGGACATGAGAAAGAGCTCTGAGAGGCCAATTCCAAAACGATTTCTTCTCCTTTTGCGGCTCAGCCAAGTGGGTACGGCCCAACGGCTTTTTTGAAGTGTTACTAGGACCAGCCACTGAGCTCCGAGGATTCTTGTTCACATACAGAGCTTCACTTATCGTCTCGACCTCCTTCAACAATTTACGGCTACTAGAAGATTCCTCACTATTAGCTTTACTCATCCTCTATAAGGAAAACACTGAGAACCCAGAAGATGAATCACAAAGCTGCAGAAAGAAGTTTTCAGTATCAGAGAAGCAGAAGAGCAGTATTAACTGTTGAGGAAGGTATGTTGTTTAAAAGATTGGTAATAATGAAAAGGTTAAAGAAGGGAAAATGAGTCATGGTTTTGCTCTACTGAAAACTTACCAACGACTTTTCCGGAAATCAAGCAAAATCAAGCTGCACGAAAAACCATCAGAAGATTAGAAATTCTGAAAAGAATACTAGTGAGTGAGAACAAACATCAAGCCATTGAGAAGCACAAGAAAGTAAGAACAAAATCAGTACTGTGAATTTGAAACCCCAGAGTGAGAAGATTTGGGATCAAAGGATATGATTAAAGAGGGGGTGTTAGAAATGAATCTATGCCTTAAACATGAGAAGAGACTGTAAGAGATCTTAGGTCTTACCAATAGGTGTACAAGTCACAATTTAGCTACAAGCAGCAACAGTTTTCAAACAAAGAAATAGGAGTCGTCCTCTCATAAACAAACAAATCTACTGTAGCGTTGACTTCGACGCAATCATTAGTGAGAAGGGAGAGAGAAATGTGAGATTTGCAACAAGCTCAATGAGGTTTAACGACTAAAACGTATATCACGCAAAACTTTTTTTTTGCAGCTCTCCAATTTTTCCGATGATTTAACTTAAATTATCATTACATCACGAATTTCACTCTGCCCGTCATGGGAGATAGATCTGATTTTAACGAACGATCGGTGCTAATTTGGTCAGAAAATAGTCCAACGGAGCAACCCAACATCACTGTCTTCACGCGAAAAAATAAAATCCAGGAAAGCAAAGCAGATGGAGAATTTTAAGAAGAAGAAGAACTAACCGGGTGTGTCTGGTCAATCACGGAAAAGTCGGAAGCTTGAAGAGAAAATGGTGGAGGGGCGCGTCGGAGACGAAGAACACAAGAAATCCTCTCCGTGTTTTTATTTCATTTGTCTTTTTTTTCTTTTCTTTTCAATTTCTTACCTTTATTTGATTTCATTTCGCTGAACTTTTTTAATAATATTCTTGAAGTGCTTATACGTAACTATTTCCTACAATCCGCCTACAAAGATTATTTTAGTGATATGTCACTCTCGTATTCATTAGCTTTTTTTTTTTGACAGCCCCCTCGTGTTAATTGTATTTATTTATATTTTTGACCAAATGTACTATAAACTTATATATCTCAGATCCAATCCAAAATCACTATATCTTCAAAATCTATCTAGGTCAAGATTGAATCCGTATATTTTCTCTAGTTGTATATGAGTTAGGGACCAATAGAAAAAAAATGTTTAGTGAATGTCAATTTCCATTCTACCGCGAAACCATTTTCAAAGAGAATGTTTTGAAAAATGCTTTTTGCTTTTTATAAGGATATAACTGTATTTTCACAAAGGAAAAAAATGTTCATTTTCAAAAACTTAAAACAAGAGCTACTTTCCAAAGAACTTTTAATTATTAGAAAAATGTTCACAAAATTATTTGGGCGAAAAGAAAAATAGTCTAAAGATGAGGGTTAAAATGTAAAAAGATAAATGAAAGAAACAAAAGCTAAACCCTAACTCTTGAAACGTCTTTACTTTCTCTCCCAATTTCCCCTACACAGAAGCCTGCCGTCACATTCCTTCTTCCTTAGAAATCGATAACAATGGTGAAACGGAATCAAGTTTCGCAGGCTCAAGAAGCATTTCCAATTGAAGAACAATGTAAATCGCTGATTAAGAAGCTTGCTTCTTGCAAGCAGACCATTCGCGATAGATCCCTGCGAACTGTTCTTCGTAATTGGCTCCCGGAACAGACTGAAATCCCTGACGAAGACATGAAGAAGCTATGGCAAGGCATCTTCTACTGCATGTGGCACGCCGATAAGTCTCTTTACCAATCCGAGCTCATCGATCGTCTCTCCTCTGCTCTCCAATCCCTTCCTCTCCCTCTCGCTCTCCACTACTTCACCGTATTCTTGTTCACCATGCGCCGCGAGTGGTCCCGCATCGATCGACTAAGGTTAGACAAGTTCTACCTCTTGATTCGCAGGTTTTTGCACGCCTTCTTCTCTCTTCTCGATAGCAATTCGTGGGATTTGGATTTCACTCGCCGTTTGATGGGTGTTTTGTTCGATGGGACTTTCCTTGCTGGTGATAAGTTTCAGGGGAATGGTGTTAACTATCATATAGCTTCTGCCTTTGTTGAAGAGCTTAGATCGTTTCTTCCTCTAAGGAAGGAGGTTTTGGAACTTCTTTTTGCCCCTTTTGTGACAATTTTGGGCGTAGTTAATGACAAGATTTTGGTGGCGAAGATTAAGAGTAATTTGTTTGATGAGTTCCTGAAGATGGGGAAGAAGCTTCTGGATATCAAGAAATCTGGGAATGATACTGAGTCTGAGGATGATGATGTACTGGTTTTGGGATCCATTGCCCTGTCTATGGAGTTTGCAAAGAGGTTCTATGAGATGGGTTCTTCTCCAGATTGCCATCAGGGTAATAGGAAAGCTATATTTTCTCTTCACAAAGAGTTCTTGCAGCTGGAGAAGGATATGTCGACTTCTGGTATAGAAGTTTCTATCACAGAAGCTTCTCGTCCTGGCGACGATGAAGTGCCTGAACTGGTTCCCATGTCCGAAAAGGCGGAAGCAGATGAATCAAAAGCTGTTTCTGAGTCTAAGAAGGTTGTTGCAAATGGGTCTTCGTCAAAGAAAAAGAGTTTGAAGAAGTGTTCAAAGTCTAAAAAAGGCAGTGTCAAGAAGGACGCTGATGTATTGGATCTTGGTAAGAAAGATGAAGCTTTTGATGAGACTATGATATCGGATCTTCGACAGGAGTTTGAGAAGATTGCATCCGAAATGGGACCATCAAGAGCTGAGGTTGCGAGTGTCTGTGAAGAAGCAGAACCTGTGCCAATAGCCAAAAAGACCAAGAAGAGGAAAAGAGAGAACAAAGGGGTAGAGCAAGGTACTATTGTTAACAGAGATGCAGCAGAGACGAGCTTAGCCGGCCCGAGCAGTGAGAAGAGCTCAAAGAGAGTAAAATTCGCAATGAAGAACAATTTGGTGTGGAAGCCACATTGCCCTCTACCTCCACAAGACTTGAGGTTGCCTCCGTCTGCTACGCCAAGAGGAAGTGCTCTCAAGAAGGGAATCCCGGCCGGTCCAGTGAGGGAGTTGTCTTCTCAGAGTAGGAAGACGAAGAAGAAAGTAAAACCCAACCCACGCAAAGGAGTGAAGACGATCAAGAAGCTGAAGAAGAAAGTGTCGCCATAGAAATGGAGTCTTGTTGAGTTAACCGTTGCTTTGCTTTTTGCTTTTCTTTATAATTTGTTTTAGTTCCAACTCTTTAAGACGTCTTGGAGATTTTGTTTGCTGATTTGAGAACTACGGAAAAAACCTTCGCCGTTACAATAGAAGAAAACCAATTCTTTTCATCTCCAAGTACGATAATATTAAGTATACAAGATGACGTCACTACTATATCAGCGAAAACTGGAATTGGTCATTTGTTTCTTCTGCTCTTCTCTTCTCTTCTCTTCCTATCTAAGTTCGTTGATGTATGAGCTCTGCTACTAGGAATGTGCTTGAAGGAGCAAAGACGTGTAGATAAGATGGTTCCAAACATCGGGAACTCCCGGCAAACACCAGTGGCTACAATCCTGTCGCCTTGTCGACACTTTTTTACCATCCGTGTTGGTCTTACCGTAGATTGACGGATGTCCATCTTTGCGGAAATTAGTCAGCTTTGTCACGTTTAGAAGTATCACAGGAATTTGCATCTCCTTTATGGCTTCCTCTACGATCTTCATTTTCAAAGGATAAGAATCGAGGATTGAACCTTTCTTTACCGGTTCCACCTCCCCGTTGCATGACCCTCCAGAGTCCCACTCGCCTCCCCTGTTCAAGTCAGGACGCAAAAGAACTTAACGATTCTGAGAAGAAAAAATAACTGCAACAAGAGTACTGGGTGGCCTATAAAACAAACTGAACCAAATCCAAACCTAAGTGCTTAAAAATCGAAATGTGTTAATCCGCTCGGTTTTCTTATTTTAGAACCTAAAAACGGAAACCAAAACTGAATTTAGTGACAGAAACTCATTTGTAGGGTAACGAACTGAAACCAAGCCGTACATAGGATTCCTCACTCCTAATCAAGATGATATAAGTGACATGAACAATTGAAACTCGTTTGTAGTTGAATTAAAAAGATTCCAGGTGGTAAAGAAAAGATCGGCGGCTTACCGAAAATGGGCAGAGGAGTATCCGCGATAGAATACAAGCTGCTTTTTCGGATTCACATTCTCATCAATCCATTTTGCCCAAGTCTTCAACGCCCTTCTGTATGCTTCAGTTGCATCAAACTTCGGGTAGATGTAGTCACCTTCTTTGTAGTAGTTTTTCCTGCACTAGTTTTATCCACCAAGTCATTTACCATTCGTGGGCTGTGGATCTTCCTTCTCTAGGAAGATGTCATGAAACTAAATTATACAGGTATAATGGGATGCACCAGCGATATCAAGCTTTCAAGATGATGAAATTCAGAAGGTTTTAAAAATTAAATGGATGCTACAAAGCTATCAAGATATAAGAAGAGTAATAACGCAGAAAAGGAAAGAACCATACCCTCTGGCAGTCTTTCCGTGAACCCACCAGTGTCCAGTGTTGAAGACAAGAATGTTAGCTCGCTTCCATCGAGCATGTGTCTTGTCAATGCGATCAATCGAAAGGGTTGGATTAGTATTTCCTTGAGCATTTGCTCTAACTCCTTCCCTCACAAGAAAATGTGACCTCACAAACTCTACTGTGCAATTGTAATCCTGTCATTATCATGTAGAAAGAAAACATTGTCGAACAATTTACTTTTAACTTGACTAAAGACAAATCTGGCATGCAATGCAAGAAAAATATAGAATACAAAATTGTATGCTGGGAGTCGCAACATATTGTAGTACAGATAACCAGAATCCCAGGGAAACATTCAGCTGAAACACAAACACAGGCAATCAATAGAAGAGTTGACTTACTTCAAACTTGAATACAAAGTAGCCTCTTCCCTTCGTTATATTGTGGCCATGAACCTCGTACATTCGACTCTTATCAGATAAACCCTCTCGGAGAACGCAAAGCATTGATTCAAACTGGTTGCGGTTCATTGAGTCTCCAACCAACATCAAACTTTTACCTCGTAGCTTTACTAAGAAATCTGTAGCATTAAACCTATATTTGGAAAGTCGATAAGAAGGGAATAAATATTCAATGCACAAAAGGAAATAACATATGATCCATTCTGCTAATCCTATCATCTAAAGTTTGACAGTCATTAAATTCCTCTAAGGACTAAGTGTTCGTTATCAAGCCATGATTGCTACTATCTGATTCATTTATCTGTACATCCAAAACTATCATGCTTTCAGATAACCTTTAGCTTCACAATCAGCTAATAGGACACTGTGACTCATGAACACAACCACAAAGCTATATGAAAATCCATGACTGACTTAGAAAGTGAAATGCTGATCAGCACTTTATTTAGATCGACAATAACTTGCTTTAATCAGGATCGTAACAATGGAGGTTTGAAATAGATCAATTCGAAAAGCATCGTACCGTGGAAGGTCACAACCGTCAGGCTTCCATCTCCAATTGAGATAGTCGGAATCGCGCCTCCCGTTCCTCTGGCAATCAAAGGCTTCGTCCACATAAGGACACGATCCAGGCTGATACAATGGATACTCATCACCCTTAACCCAAGATCCCCTGTACAAATCGCAGCCTCTAATCTTCTCCACCACCGCCTGTTCCACAGATTCCGCATTGCTTTCCTCCTTTTCCTCTACGGACACTTCGCCGCGCGAGACTCCTCCTTCTTCCAGCTCAGGTTTCGCGGTGAGGTCTTCCACAGCTTTCAGCTCAGTTCCTACCGCGACGTCATCGTCGCCGCGCGAATCGGCTCCTTCCTCCTTGGGATTTGTTTCAGCATCGGGATCTTTGGAAGGAGGAGGCTCAATCTGAGGGAGGAGGAGCGTGGGAGAGCGTGGATCGGAGGAGGTTGCAGGGAGAGGGATGTCGGCGTGGTAAGGGGAGAGAGAAGGCTCGAGAGTGCGTCTGGTGAAGAGGAAGACGCTGCAAAGGAAGAAAAGGATGAAGAGAGAAGTTGCGAGAGTGTAGGAGAAGATGGTACTGCGAGGGAAGGAAGCGGAAGAAGAAGAAGTCGACATTCTGCCGCCACCATTGAAGGAGCTACGCAGAACTCATCGATCACTAATTCTCTCCATTTTCATTAAATTAGTATATAATGATGGAATCTACAATAGTTTCTATGTTACTCTCTGTGGAAATTATCTCAATTATCTTGTAAATGCTTCTTTAAATGCACAAATGTTTCTGTTATTTTTTCCTCTTTAGAAACTTTTAAGTTCGTGCCGCCAACATTTTATTTTTTTTCTTTCTCATCATTTCTCATAAAAAAAAAGCAACAAGATTCTTTAAACAAAGGTTATAATCACATGATTCGTATTTATTTGCTTGATTCCTTGTTGAATTGAAAGCTTAAACTTGTTGGCTTAGAATTTGAAAAATGAAACATTAACGCATAGAGACACGATCATGTTATAATATTCACCTCTGAGACTTCTTAAGGATCCACACTGGAGAGATGATGAAAATTTGTTTAGATCAAACGGAGATTTGCGCGATTAGGCCAAGGAAAGTCCACTCGGAACTTCATTCTTTTTTTTTTCAATTCTTTACATTAGATAGAAGAAACATATTGATTATGTAATCAAAACCAACATTTAGACCTTTGACACAAAAAAAAAAAAAATTAAACCAATCAAGGGAAAAACAATGTAGCAGCGTTATTGACTGGTTGTTCAGCGTCTTGAAATAAAAGTGCATACCAAACATTCCAATCCTCTGATTTCAAAAGAAGACGACGAGGTTACAGAGAGAGGTTCGAGGAGAGGATTTCATTTCACTGTGAAGCTTTGTATTACTACGCTTACTCTTCACATCTCTCAACAAATCTCCAGATTGAGGCAAGGAATATGATTCAACCCTAATTTCAAGCAAACTTCCCCTCCCTCTCTCTCACTTTGAAAGTATCGGAGATTACAGTTTTCACTCTCACAATCGAAAGACGAAACCCATACTAAAATGGCGAATCACCGACGCAATCCGACGACCGATGAAGACAATGCTATGTAAGCTCGTGATTTTAATATCTTTTTTCGAGCTTTGCCAAAAAATTTGTGTGTTGATCGGAGATCGAGCGAAATTCCTTGTGAGCTTTGATTTGGTCGATGTTCTTACTCTCTATTCTTTTTGAGCTCTGAATTTCGGAGTTTATTGTTGTTGTTTTTTCGAAGTGAGATCCTTTGATCGGTGTTTTATGAGCTAAGAAGTTCAAGCGCAGAACATAAGGACTTTTTTATCTCTTCGTTGACAATGGTTGCTCTGGTGTTTTCTGTTTCTGTAGTCACATCCAATTTAAGCTTCTAATTCAATGATTCTTTCTTTTCTTCAAAGTATTTTGCAGATTGGTCACTCCTCTCTGTATTTTATTGCCATGCCTTTTTCTGCCTATGACTCAGATGATATTATTATATAATCATTCAAGAATATTGTTTCGACCTCTTAATGGCTCCTTATCTAGTTTCAACACCGTTTCTGTGATTGTAGGTTTCTTGATATACTGCATGAAGCTCCTCTATTCGGTCATCGAGAATCTAGAAGTCTTGTTGGAAGTTGCATTTACCTTATCATATTGGCAAGTGCTTCCAAACTGTACTTTTTCCTTCTAATTCGCCATTGACCTTTTAACACAGAGCTTTGTAACGAACCCTTTTAAGGATAATGAGAAACATGAATGCCTGACTTTATATTTACTTTTTTGTTAAATTTAGGCAGGTTATGCTATTTTAGCAGCAGGAGCGCCGTGGATACTGCAGCCTGTACAGTCTCTTATCCCATCACTGCTTTGCAGCTGCAATGTTGCCCTATTAATGTTAACAGGTAACCTCAATACTCCCCGTCAGCTATTACTACAAAGCATTGTTTAGATTAAATTGTGGTAAACTACTGCTAGTGATATTGGGTTCTGGATCTTCACGAAAAAGTTTTTTTAGGCATGATATCGTTAATTAGTTAGTTCTTGCTAAGCTGCCAGTCTTTCAAAAAAAAAAAAAGGGAATGAAATTTGCAGCATATATGTATAGATTTTCATAAGTATTTTCTGCAACAGGTATGTTTCAGCAATATTTTGTCAATCAGGTCCAGAAAATACGCTTGCAGGTATCATTTGTTCTAACCGAGTACTGCTCATTTTATATCCTTTATTAGCTATACAGACATAAGTTAATATTCTCCAGTTTAGTTGCAGTCATTTCATCTGTAGACCTTCTGAAAGAACCTCTTATATTGCAGGGTTATTATAGTTTCAGCCAGAAATTGAAACATGTAGTTCGTCTGCCATTTGCCATAATGGCATATGGTAATCTTTAGTGCTACTTTTCCAATCATATATTTTACATATGCCTATTTGTTGCACTCAATAAAGTGACTCCGTTTTGTTTTAGGAACTGCATGTATGCTGCTTTTCATGGTGTGGAGACCATATGTCAGTGTTCTTCCCATTTTAACTGTGCAGAGGTATTCTTTTGTGCATTAACTGCTTATACAGTCGTAGTATTTTTCTTTTCCAGTTGATCACATTTTCTGTTTCTTTCTTTCTTTTGTTCTCGGCGATAAATATAGAATTAAAGAAAGATTCTTACTTCAGTAAACTTTTTTCAGTCTGGCGAAGAAATTTAGATATCACGTAATGAAAATGTCTAATTTATTGATAACTATTTTTATTCACTAAGGTTGACAGATTTTACTTAAACGTATTTACCATTTTCTTAGATAAATTTGAAAGCCTGTAATAAGTCTAACTAGAAATACTATTTGGTCGCTGACAATTCTTTCGTATTTTTATTTTGGATTAACATGGTGAAGTAACTATTATTTTGCCAAGGTCGAAAACGTACGCTTACGAATACATTATATTATTGCAGGTTCATCATGTTTGTTGAAGCAATTTCCGCTGCTTCTTTTATGATTGTATTTGTTGGTAAGCATAAGGTCCAAAAAATCATATTCACACTTTTAGACATGCGTACAGTAATACTTTATTTCCTTGACTAGAGCAGTATAATGCCAAATCGATTTCTTGGGCATCGATTGTTACATTATTCTGCCAGTTCGTTTGTCTGTAGTAAGAGATTCTGTGGCTAGGTTATTATTATGCAGCTTTTCTTATCTGTATTTGATACTGATAGGTTATGTTCGCCAGTATAACTCGGTGAACTCTCAGCCAGATGTCTTAAATTCATTATATTCTCCCCTTCAACCAGCTGCTTTGGAAGGATTGAGGTACTTTCACAATCTCAGTGGAACCTTATCTTCATGAAAATTTGTCGAGCATGGCATGGCAACCTTAGATTGCACATGCTCATACGATTCTCAAGTCTTACTTCGTTTTGTTTGCTTGAAAAACAGATACCATGAAGCTGGTCGCCTTTCTGATCAGCAAATGGCTCTACTTCAGTATCAGCGCGAGAATCTGCATTATCTCAGTGAAGAGGTGACATTACATGAAATATTTGTCATGAGTACTTTTCATTTCTGAATCTTGATCCTTGTGTTGTATCTTAGTAATGTACAGTTTCTTATTAGCAATCCTAACTTCTCTCTATAGTCCATCATCTACCATAATTTTGCTGAATTATCCCTTGTTTTCGCTAGAGTGAGTGTTCTGACCCATTTTTGGTGTGTGTTCAGATTCTGCGTTTGCAGGAGTCCCTAAGCAAATATGAAGAGGCCAATGGTAGTAGCACGCCTCAGGTTTGAACTACTCTTGCAAACTGACAAATTGTTTTTAGCCGAGCTTTAAGCCTGGATACATGCTTAACAACCTCCACAATAATTCTCAAAATCGATGTATTTCTTTCCACTGTATTTTTGAGTTTTCAAGTAATTAGTGTTGAAATTTTCAGGTTGATCTGGCACATCTTGTGGCGACCCGTGATCAGGAACTACGAACACTTTCTGCTGAGGTAAAGCTCCGTTAACAAATGAGTCACTTGCGAAATCATATGGATAGTTTTTCTGACCCCTTTGGTGGAAATAATGGATTTCATGTCTCAAGGCTAATTTCTTTATGTAGCAACTTTGAATGAAGGAAGATACTAAATGAAAATGGTATGTGTGTAGGTGGATCAACTCCATTCTGAGCTTAATCTCGCTCGATCTCTGATCTCTGAGAGAGATGGAGAGATACAGCTCGTCCGTAATACCAATAATCAGGTTTGAATCTATCTAATAAGAACATATTAGAACAAAACATATGAGAGAACAAAAGAGAAATTCATTTGTCTTCTGTTTTCAAACTCCTGAAACAGTATGTGGCAGAAAACGAGAGGTTAAGAGCCATCCTGGGAGAATGGAGTATGCGAGCCGCAAAGGTACAGTATTGTCTTCTTTCTATAGTTCCTAAGTGTTTTAGAAATGCATATGATTTGTGGAAGTCTATATCTTTGGATTGTTGTAGCTTGAACGAGCCTTGGAGGTGGAGAGGGTATCAAATCTTGAACTGCGGAAGAAAGTTTCGGCTCTGAGAGAGCAGAGGCAGATGCAATGAAAAAATAAAAAGTTGTGGGGTTTTAGCATATACATCATCTAACTATACATGAACTCAGATGGTTTGTAGACGAATATTGTGACATTATTTTGTAAGATCTTTCTTGAAATATTTGATTAGAATGAAACTCTTTTTCTTCTTCATAACTTCTATAAGCATTGACGACGATGTAATCATTTCACACTTTATCTCAATCAGTATCTGTTCTCAAATTTCTATGATTGGGTTATATCATTATTTATTTGGTTTAGATCTCTTCATTATTCAATTTTGAAAAAAGAAATATTTATGGATAATAAAGGGGGAAAAAATTAGATTTATGTTTTTTTTTTTGACGTCAAATTAGATTTATGTTAAATTGTAAAGGATTATGGAAATAAAAAGAAAAGTTAAGCGGATTATGGAAATAACGAGAATCCGGAATACCCGAGAGCTATTATAAATTGCAAAGCCCAAGACATTTTTACCGACGCTTCTTCTCCCGTCTCTGAAAACAACCTAGCGAGCTCAAAAATCTCTGATTCTTCGGCTTTCTAGGGTTTTTTTCGCTCTCTTCCGATCAAAGATCAATCAATGGCGTCTCTCGATTCCGACGTTCCTATGATTCCTGCCGGAGAAGCCTCCAGCAGTGTAGCCTCTTCTTCGACCAAGAAACCTAAGCGATTTGAAGTTAAGAAATGGAGTGCCGTTGCTCTCTGGGCTTGGGGTAAGCCGTGGAATCTCTTATACTACCTGGAATATGATCTTCGATGTTTTTTTGTTACGATTTTCTTTCTCGTGTTTTGATTATTTTGTTTAGTTAGGGTTTTATTGATTGATCTTTGGTTGGTTTGCAGATATCGTTGTTGACAATTGCGCCATCTGCAGAAACCACATCATGGATCTGTGTAAGTCCGAGTAACAATAACGATGATCTGAATAATCGGGAGATTCCTGAATCCCTGAATCTTTTAGGCTAACTTCGTTATTGTGCTCTGGTTATTTTTAGGCATTGAATGTCAGGCTAATCAGGCCAGCGCTACAAGTGAGGAATGCACTGTTGCTTGGGGTAAGTCTTGTTTCCTCTACGCCTTTGATTGCTGCATTTTGAAACTTGATTGGGTATAGCTAATCGTAATTGTGTATCTAAGACCACAAGAATTGTAATGCAAATTAGTGCTTTGCGAAACAATTCTAGTATCTAAGAATGCTTTTGTTAAGTCTTGACATTGAAATTTGCTTATTTGGTGGCGCTAGCTAGATGTATTTGTTTTACTCGATAGGAAGCCCTATTCTTCTAAATAGGTCGATGTGGTCTGCAGCTGATTAGATTTATGGAACTTCAGGATTTGCAAAGAGAAGCCAAACTGTAGTTATTGTTTGCATGCTTTCAAATTCCTGCAGTGATTTTGTACCTGCAATTATCTATGATTGAGGATGAGTTATAAACTCAGAGAATGGTCAAATTCACTGCATTACATATCTCTGTATTCTCAATTGCTCAACGTATAAAGGATCAATTTGAGGATGAATCTTGTTAGCTGTTAAGGTAGCTAAGGAAACCTTTGTTCTTCTCTGTTAGAGAGAGTAGGAAGTTTTCATTCAAGATATATATAATTGATGAGGCACCTTTTCGAATCCTTAATTATTCTACAACTCAAAGTCGAAATACATAAAATGTTGGTGCCTTCTTTTATCTAAAGACATTCGGTGCTGGTACTTGCAGGGGTTTGCAATCACGCCTTCCACTTTCACTGCATCAGCAGGTGGCTAAAGACTCGTCAAGTTTGTCCATTGGGTATGTCTTTCTCCGTCTGTGACTGACATCGCAGTTTTTGTTTGTTTGTTTGCGTGTTAATATTTCTGAGTTTTTAACAGATAACAGCGAGTGGGAGTTCCAGAAATATGGTCACTAAATCATCCAGTCGTTCGAGCAAATATGTGTCTAGTCGAAGATATCAGTTTCCGCACATGATACCAAGATTGATCAAGTTGTTTTTTTTTTCTTTTTTTCTCTTTTGTAATGTCTTTCACAAGTTGTGGGAACATAAGATTTGCATGCTCACTGAACCTTTTCTCGTTGTGCTTTTGGGCGATGTCTTTGATTTCAAATACTTAAAAGTGATATTTACTATAAGGCTAGCTCGAACCCACTTTAGTACAATTGGCTATCTGTTTCCTTGTGGTATAAGTTCTGCTTTCACACTTGTTTATGAGAAGAAAAAAGAAAACATTTTAAAAGATATCAAATATAATGAGTGTTATTGTGGATCTTGATCTTATCCCACTCTATTACAACTATCAGAGCATTAATTACTAATGCTTTGGGATAGATAGAATCAATAAGCATCTAAAACTCAAAACAACTTGTAGATGGGCTTCAGATCAGTAGGATAATACAACCCAAAGTTCTGTTCGGTCCCAGCTGGCTTCTGATTCTCGTTGAATGTCGCAAATAGAAACCCATGAATGCTACTGTTTGGCCTCTTGGGCGTCCCTTTACCGCTTCCCACATGTTTGACGAAATTTCCATTGTAGATAGACGCGATCTCCGGCGTTGTTAAGTTCCCGTTACCCGCGGATGGCCATCCAGTCTCTGATACCACCATGGGTAAATCTTTTACGCCTTCTTTCTCCATTGCCCACACGAACGCGTCAAATATCACATCGAACATGTTTGAATACCCCAGTGGCCCGTCTTGTACAACAACCGCATCGGTGTTGAAGATGGCATAATCAAGAAGAATGTTGGAGGGATCAGACGCGTAAGCGAAGTAAGGGTAGATGTTGACGAGGATAGGAGTAGTCGTTTGAGACAGGAACTTCAACACGGGAACGAGTTGTTCACGCGCTTGGGACGTGAACTCTCCGGAAGAAGGTGGATATGATTGGCCAAGGTTGGTCATAGCCACCGTGGTGCTGATCAAGATCGGGAGACTTCTCGACTTGACGAGGTTGGTCAGAGATTGCATGACGGGTAGCACGTGAGGGCCGATGTCTCCAGGGATGACTTCGTTGCCAACAGTAATGAACGTAATGTTGACGTCAGCTAAGTAAGGCTCAATGTTGGTCATGAACCATGTGTTAACAGCGTTTTCGCTAACCGCAAGAGCCGCCAAGTCTTCGTTCTTGACGCCTACAATGACTCCAATATCGCGGTTTCCGCGGAATGCGTTCAAGACGTCTGTGTTCGTGTCGAATATACGAATACTCGTAATGCCTAAGGACTTGTAGAGATTAATAACTTGGGACGGAGGTGGGAGGTTGTCTCCGAGGAGACCGTAGTTCAAGCCAATGTTTGTTGTTGCGTGTACAAAGCCACCATTGTTGTAGTTGAGCAGGAGTATTATGCACGAGATCATGAACAAGAACGACTTTTTAGGACAATCCATACCGACACGTGTATCTGCAAAATCATTAGCATTAAGGATAAAGATTATAATTTGTTTTTAATGTTAAACAATTTTCTTACGTGCAAGACATCAGAAGATCATACTTGTTTAAGGAACGGAGACAAGCTAAGACGATGGTATCAAACCAAAGTTGTTTCGTTTCTTCTTCACTTTTCGTTGCAAAACGTAGGTTGTAGGTACGTACAATTTATATACATAGTTTGGATATGTTTTCTATTTTGCTCATTTGACTAATATAGTGGTAAACGTTTTGTTTCTATCATGTTTGTTGACATGTTTAGTATCTATAAAGTCTAATTCCAAATTTGCTAATTTTCATTATTTATTTTTTGTCTAACTTAAAATAAACTACATATCTAGAACGTTTATGCAACGATCTGAACCTAAAAATAAACTAAAAATGCTGAACTATTACAAATACATAAGTGCTAATAAAATTGATTGTAAATGTCATTTGCCTCAAGTTAGTTTATATTTGTAGCAATAAACAACATAAACTATATAGATAACGAAGATCTCGAATGAAGCTGACTCTGAGGTTTTGAAGATTAGAAGCAAGAAAAAAAATCGGTTGTACAAATTTTGATCATGATTGATCATTTAACACAGTTTTTATTAAGCTTTATTAACCAATAAATTAACCAATAAATTTTTGAAAAATTTGGCCATTCAAAAATTATAAACTAAAAAGTTATTTTTTTATGTTTTTCGAAAAATTTATAAACTAACCAGTCCAAACTTTTGTTCGCACCCTACCGGTTGTAAATACGATGTCTTGTCACCAAGGCGACCAATTGTCGCTGTTACATCAGCATTTATACATCCATATTTATACATCTGTCTTAGTTACAATATTCCAAACTTGATCATTATCTGTGTCTTTTGGATCCCACATCTTCCACATTCAGTAGTTATGCACATCGCCAACTATAGCATCTCACATCCAATTTTCTTCATAAACAGGATAGATTGTTTTGTATATGTCACGTGTTTGAGAAATGAGGAGGGAATGAAGATGGAAAAGTTGATTATGTACCAAAAAAAAGCTGTGAGACTAACATGTAAACTACAAAGATATTTATAATATGAGATGAATTGATTTTGTACTCATATGAGATGGTCCAAACAAACACGTAATTTTTAAGTTGATCATGTCAAAATTTGCAAAACGAATGTTCTATTTAATTTATAGAACTAATTGATTGCATTTGATATAGTCAAACCGAACATAAATTATACATAATGCATTTTTTGTTTTTGGGTAATTGACATAATGCACTCTTATAGTTTTGCAAATTTTGACATGCATGTTCCAACATTTATTTTCGAACCAGAAACAAACGTTATTTTTTTATTAGTTTTTCTATGTATGGAACAATTTATAAAAAAAAAAAAAAAATTGGAAAGTCTAATTTCAAATGCCATTAAAAACTAACTCCAAACTCAACTCAGTTGGGCTTCAATATCTCATTATAAAAGAAAGCTGAAATCTTATGGTTATAGGCTTATAGTTATAGCTAATAAAGAAATTTGCCCCCACGCTATTACAAACATTATTAGATCGTTATATAACTAATAGACTAATAAACCAAAAATCTAAAAATCAAAACAACTTGTAGATTGGCTTCAGACCAGTAGGATCATATAACCCAAAGTTCTGTTCAGTTCCAGCTGGTTTCTGATTCTCGTTAAAAGTCGCGAATAGATAACCATCAATGCTACAGTTAGGCCTCTTAGGCGTCCCTCTTCCGCTCACTACATGCTTCACAAAATTTCCGTTATAGGTAGCCGCGATATGTGGCGTGGTCAAGTCTCCATTCCCGGCGGATGGCCATCCGGTCTCTGACACTACCACCGGTAAATCACTCACGCCTTCCTTCTCCATCGCCCACACGAACGCGTCAAACATTGCATCAAACATGTTCGAATATCCCAATGGTCCATCTTGTACCACGACTTCCTCATTGTTGGAAATTGCATAGTCTAGACGGATATTCACCGGGTCGGACGCGTAAGGGAAGTAAGGGTAGATGTTGACGAGGATTGGCTTACTTTTCTGAGACAAATACTTCAGGACCGGTGTGAGTTGTTCACGCGCTTGGGACGTGAACGTTCCTGCGGAAGGTGGGTACGACTCTCCGAGGTTAGACATAGCCACAACGGTGCTTATCGAGATCGGAAGATTCCTCGTTTCGACGAGGTTGGTGAGAGATTTCATTACAGAAAGCACGTGAGGACCGATTGGTCCGGGGATGACTTCGTTACCAACGGTGATATAAACGTGATGTTCACGTCGGCTAAGTAAGGCTCGATGTTGGTTGAGAACCAGGCTTTTACAGCTTCTTCGCTAGCTGCAAGAGCAGCCAAGTCTTGGTCCTTGACGCCTACAGTGACACCAATATCGGTATGGTCGCGTAAGGCGTTGAGAACATCAGTGTTGGGGTCGAAGATTCGAATTTTGGTAATGCCTATGGATTTGTAAAGGTTGATAACTTCGGGTGGAGACGGGATGTTATCTCCGAGGAGACCGTAGTTCAAGCCAACGTTATTTGCCGCTGCCACGATTATGGAACCGCTATTGCTGTACTTGTAACTTAGCAGAATTGCCGTGTACGAGATCAGCAACAAGATAACTCTTTCAGGACAGTTCATAGTGAACATCGTGCCTGCAAAATCAGTAGAGGTTTGAGATAATATTATACTATACTATTTCGAACATATACAAAATTTGAATGAGTGGAATATAGAGGCACATCACAAGATCTTACTTGTGTGAAGAATCAAGAAAAGGATGCGAAGGAACCAAAGCTTGTGTAAACTACTGAGGAAACAGTATTTATATGATATACACCAGGGGGAGTTTTTTTATAAACAATACACAAGAGGATTATTTCCATATATCTAATAGAATATTTCCATATATTATAACAGTTTCTATACTATTATCGATATCACAAAAATTATAAAATTAAATAAATATTTATTTCCTTTCGTGGCGTTGTTAACTTATATCTGTGTTTACAATTTTATTCCTTTTACCAACTAGAAATTGCATGTCAATTAGGGCCACCGGCTTAGCCCAAGCCCAACTCTGAATAAACCAAGGTTCGGTCTTAGATATCCGGAAAAAAAAAAAAAGAATAAGACCGCACCTGACTAATAAATATACAGGCTTTGTCGTTTTCGGACCGAGCCCGATTGACATGGCGAAACTTGCTCAGCTTTTGTAACCAGTGGCAGGAATCACAGTTCTACTGTTTGGTACTCAAGGGTTGTTTTGAGTCTTTTTGACCCAAACAGTAAAACACACATTGGACACTATGTTATAGTGTTACTTTGCCCATACTGTCGCTAGTTTTCTCTTAGTTATCAATCGTTTGCTAGAATTTTTAGAAATCACCCAAAAAAGATGACCCCAAAAAAACTAATAACTGGAAAATACATAAGTTAAAAAGAACCAAAGGATGCACATATAGAGCCAAAATAGACATTTTCCAAGCTTTAGCAATTTTTTTAAGGAAGAGTTTAAGAAACCTCCTTAAACATATTCCACAATTGATATTGATTTTGAGATTTCTGGGAGGCACAAGGAGTACCCTGTGGAAGGATTCTCTTTGAAATAAAAGAGAAGAATTACTTCAGCTGGAAAAGAAAATGAAAAACAAAAAAAAAACGGTATACCGAGAATGAGAAAATCAAATTCACAAAACCGTTTTGATGCATCGAGACCAGATATTTAAGACGATGATCACAAATATTGTTCATGTATCCTTGCCCTGTTCTCTTCCCACCATAGCCTCGCGTGCATCTCCCCGAATCTCTCTCGACTGCAATGCAAAAAGAGAACACATAGTGAGTGACCTTTTTGTTCTGTTCTTTTATTAAAAACAATGTAAGGAAGCATTTTGTTTTTTTGGTTACCTGAATCTAACTCTTCTAAGCTCTCTTTTCCCACCAGGTAAAACTTTGATGGTGATATAAACTCCAGGCTCGTCTTGCTCCACCCATTCGTTCTGATCAACATCACTCGCATTGCTTATCGACATTTCCTCTGACCGGTCTGCATCTCTCGACGAGCTGCTTCTTATGGAAGCATCCATGGAAGAAGTTTCCGTCTTGGCTCCGCTTATGCTTGAAAGTTTAGGAGTTGAGTTGAGTAGACCAGAGTCGTAAAACTGCTGGCTCTGCGTCGAACTATGGTCGAGTGAATCCGAGGATGAGTAAGCAGCCAATCCAACTGGCCGATGGATATTACGAGGCAGCCGTTCTTTGTTTAATGGCGGTGTTGCGGGAGTGTCCTCTGGATGATACTCTGCTTTTGCATTCTAACAAAGATTTTCAACAGAGGAACTAGTGGTTAGTCTCGGTTTATTTGTCTTGTTTAAAGATCCGATTCAGTGAAAAGCTAACCTCGTCTTCGGATCTAGGCGGCGTGGGAAGCGGGAAAGCTTGGCGGCTTAGTTTTTGAACATTGTAAAGTTCCATCACTTTGTCGTAGTTATCAGCCCACCATCGTTGAGCTTGTATCTTGTTGAACATGTCTCGGCTGATCAAGGAAAAGATAAAGAAGTGAGAAAAAAAGAAACCACATTTTGGAACCATGTTTGTCTTAATTTTTCAAATTTACACAACAACAGTGAAAGACCAAGATGTACCATTAAAATGCCCAAGTCAAGAGTTGTTTTTTTGATATAGCAATTTTAGCTCATTAGAGAAGGGTTAGATAGATAGACTAATCCCGGTAAAGCCATCCAATTTTATCGGCTAACACAACTTGGTTCACATAGATATTGCATGAGATTCAAAGTTAATTTCAATGGTTAAATCAAATTAGTAAAAGAAGTAACTTTAATCAGAACAAGCAGACAAAAGTGGGAATTGGCGAAAACGGATTAAGGGGAGATTTGACAAAATAACAATGGCTGATTTAAATAAACTTTTTGACAAATTGAACACATAGGCTAGGGCTAGAAAGAGAGTTGAAAACAAGAGACAAAGATGCAACAACCTTTTTGAGTATTGAATTTTTTTTATAAAGAAGATGTTAGTTTAATGGTCGACTAATAGTAATAATCAATCAAAATTTCGTAAACATAAAGGAAAAAAAAACATGGACGAAGAAACAGAGACAACAATGGTCAAAGCTAATAATGAGGAAAGATGATTATGTCTAACAGTAAAAAAAATAATGGGGGAGGTGGGTAGGAGAGAAATTCTCAAAGCAAACTCATTTTTAAATATATAGTAAATTCTCCTAAAGTTATTAATTTATATTTGTCTACCAAAATCGAAACTAAACAGTAAAAACACATGTAACTCAGGACTGTTAAGACCCAACCTAATCAGATTATGCCCTCGCTCTCAGGAATTAATTTGATCGAGCAGAAAACAATGTTTGTGAAATTAAACGAAAGACCAAAAAGAAAGACCAGGTTTTGACAAAAAAGACAGTAAGTGATAGAACTAGAACTGTGATTAATATGAAAGAAGACAAGGAATCGAAGCAAGGAAGAGACAAAGTACGTTGAGGTTGTCGTTTTCAATAGGCGACATAGCAGTGAACGAAACTGTGCTAAAGTCTAAAGCTATTTGCTTTATTATTTATATATTTATATCATCTTTGTCTTTTGGAATAATAAGAATAAACATTTTTTCCTATGCCCAACAGCAGCAATAATGTGAGTACAGAACAGAGACGCGGATAATAAGGCACTCATGGAATTAATAAAACAAAATTCTGAATTAACAAAAAAAACTTCGAAAAACAAACCTCAAAATATTGGTGAAAATGATAAAAAGATATAATCCTACCAACCAATGATTTTGAATCTTTCATTGAACAAAACAAATAAAGAAATGAAGCATCTAATAACTCCAGAAAGAATCTAGTTTTTATCAAGCTGGTGAGATGTTTTAGAGTGATTTCAAATCAAATTTGGATAGCTATATGTACGTTTTAAAAAAAATATAATGGGAACAGGAAAATTTTGAGTTTGAAGAGAACAAAAAGTGTCGTCAATCAACAAATAGCAAGCTAATTTTGAAAGAAAACATTAAAGCAAAGCAAAGAAAAAAGAAAAGACAGAATGAGAAGAGATGACCCCAAGAAGCACTTTAAAAAAGGAAACACCAAGTTTTTGCTTTTTGGACCTTTACGGCCAAATGCTTCTCATTAGGCGTGAAGCGTTACAGTCGACAATTATGGGTCCCATCCCTCTAAATTTTTACCACCCACTTTATTTACCCCTTTCTTTATATCTATCTATTTTCACACCAACAAATAATTAATTACCCTTCTTTGATCCTTCTGTTCAAATAGTACAAAAACTTCATCAAGCAAACAGTTTTGATATTGGGTGAATAATATTTTACCTACCGTCGTTTCGTAATTTAGGATATCTCCTATTTACTTTAGGTTAGAATTTAGCCAAACTTCATTGGCAAATTGTACTAAATTATGGTACTATTTTGTTTCACTTTCTCCTAGATAAACATATATATTATCCCAAAAATGGATAAAACTGAATGAATAAAATATCTGTTAGTCTTAGTTTAGAAAGAAAAGACGAACATGAATCATAATTGAATTTTTTGAATTAAAATACGGTTCTAAATTGGTTTCTGTTTTCCACACAAAAAATAAAAATATTGATTTCTATATAAATCCTTAAAACCATAAAAAGTTAAAAACTGAATTAAGACCAAACAAAAATAAACGTCCTATAAGAATTTGTAATTTATATTTGTAAACTCGACATACTAAATTACTTATACACAAATGTGGTAGATTTCTGTTGACAAAAAAAAAATTGTGGTAGATTTCTACAAAAAGACATGGCATGATTGCTACGTTCATATATTTTATTTCAGTTATATTATCAAATATCAAACATATATTGCCCAGACATGGAAATCCACAAAAAAATCATATTCATATTTTTAGATTTATATTCATGAACTGATTTTATTATTTAAATAAAAAATAAAATAAAAAACAGATCCAGTTCAGTGTTCCAAAGAATCCGAGCATCTTACGAACATTCTCACAAATCACGACCAAAAACAAACGTGGGAAATTAAAAAAAAAAAACGAGCCGACGACGAAGCCAAACGAAATTCTACCGCACGATGAGTATAACAGAGTCAACAAAAGAATCAAGACCGTTGGATTAAAGTGGCGTACCTGAAACGTATCCGTTTAAGATCATTGCCACCGCCGGGAAGAGAGACGAAGGTGATTAGAACCCCAGGCTCCACCTGAGCGACCCATTCCTTTGGCTCTTTCTCCTCCACAAACACTATCGGGTCGACCCGGTTCCTCCCGCTCGCCGATTTCGGAGTCGCCTCGCCGCTCGATATCCCTTTAAGCCTCGCCTCCATCTCCTTTCCCCAAACCCTTGGCTGTTGCGTCGCCGTCGCCGCCGCCGCCACCGACGAAGTAATCGAGCTGTTTGATCTTCCGTACAGCATCTTAAACCGTTGATCCGATTCGAAATCCGGCTTTGCCGACACCGGATTGTTCCTAATCGGACCCTGCCCTTGACCCTGTCCCGGCGCCGCCGTGCACGGCGTACAATGCCGGTAAGCACCCGAAGCTTTCAGAGCCATGTCCTTGAGCTGCGGATGAATTGACGAAAATACCCTCGATCAGAAGAGAGATTAAAAAAATGAGGTGGAGGAGGAGGAAGAGGAGCATAGAGTGAGTTTAGTTATACCTGAGATGTTAGAGATTTGGCGTGCTTGGAATCTGGATCGTCGGGTTGACCCGAAGATTCATCGCCGGCTCGCTTCGAACGAGCTATACACGTCAGCATTTTCCGGTGGCTGCTTCTTGGTCTGTTGATTAATTTTCTCTTTTTGGATACGGAGAGATGCTGTCAGTTTCTACTTTGGTTTGGGTTTGGTGCTCTTTTTATGTTTTGGTCTCTCTCCTCTCTTTTAGTTTTTTATTATTTTTTCAATTAAAAAAACTTTAACCGGGATTACCGGTTCCGTTTTATTAAAAATGGTCCCGCGTCTCTCTACGGTAATTCCGCAGTTCTGATCCCACTCGGTGGTACAAATATTAAAAGTTAAAAGGTTAAAACAATTTTGGGTCTACTGATTAGCTAAAAGCCTAAAACAACTTGAACGGACTCCACTTGTCCATTTAGCCTAAATCGAGAGAAAATACATTATTTTTGTAGTCTGTGGATTTCATTTCATCTTTCAGGGTTATCAAAGGGTTTTTCATCGTAGTCAAGTGTGCTCAAGGATTCAGTTATCGATATATGCAAAATTGACTCTTGACTTTTGAGAAACCTAAAACGAAAGTAAGTATATTTAAAAAAAAAAAAAAAAGAAAGTAAGTATATTTGTTGTGGCTCTAAGTTGTATACGGTAAATACAAGATGTTTTGAGAGGAAAAATGGAAAATTACATTTTTCACTTGACTTGTTTTTACTTGAATTTACATTACCATAGTCTCGTTCTCACTTTGTTTCCCTACATGAATTCACACTGTTATTTGTTTTTGTTGAAACCCAGACCAGTATCCGAAGCATTTAGAAGGTGAACATAAATTTAACAATGATGGGCCGATTTCGGCCCATTACCACGCTCGCTCGCTCTGTAGTTACTCATCTGGATTTGCGTTGTAAACTAAGAAGAAGCTCTTTCTCCTCTCCAAGGAAGAAAAGCAAAAAAGCACGAGAAACAGATAGAAAGTGGCAACGTCCGTTCGATTTCTGCTTCTGCTTCTGCTCTTGTTTCGGATTCAGATTCAGATTCATCTTCGGTTTCTGCTCCTTTAGCTTAGCAGCTGCGACCAGACGGAGGTAGAGAGGGAATGGTGACGTACGTGGGCGCGTTGTTCTACGGAGTAGGAGGGATAGTCGTCGCGGGAGTGGCGCTGCTCGTGGCCTTCCAGGAGAAGATTGTCTACGTGCCGGTGCTTCCCGGCTTAAGCAAGTCCTATCCGATCACTCCCGCCAGGCTCAATCTCATCTACGAGGACGTTTGGCTTCGATCCTCCGATGGCACACGCCTCCACTCTTGGTTCATCAAGATGTTCCCCGAATGTCGAGGTTTTCCTCCCTTCTTTTGTTTCGTTTTTCGCCTCAATTCTGCTCATCGGTTCGGTATATATATTTTTGGGTAGATTTGATTTATGCATTTCGGGCAGCTTCTGAATCTACTGAATTTTGGGGGTTTTAGGTCTTGATTGTCTCTTTCTTTAGCTAGATTTGGTCTCCTTTTGTCAGATTTGTGATTGCGTAAGTTATTGCTGCTTTTAATATAGTTCGGAACTCATAAGCCACCCAAAATCTATGTCCCAAACTGGACCTGTTCTCTTAGTTTGGTAACTTAGCTTAATTCGAACGAGTGTGATGTTTGCATTGCAGGTCCAACTATTCTATTTTTCCAGGAGAATGCCGGAAGTATCCTTTCCAGAGACATTTCTATGGTGATTGGTAGATATGAGAGTTCATGGTTTTTGGTTGTTTATTTATGTATGCTCTAAAAATTTCCTGTGCTTGGTCTTCTTATTTTACGTTCCATATCTTTTGGCTGCGGTTCTTTACCTTGTAACGGCCTTGACCATAGAACCCAAGATATCGCTCATCGTTTGGAGATGGTTCGCATCATGATACAGCGCTTGAAGTGCAATGTCTTCATGCTTTCATATCGCGGGTAAGTTCCAGTTAGCTGATTTTTTTGTCTATTTCCTATCTTAATCGTTTGTTTTTAGTTAAAACATTGGATTTGTTTACCCATATGCTATATAATTGATTGCTTTTTCCCTTGTAACCAGCTATGGGGAAAGTGATGGCTATCCCTCACAGCATGGAATCATAAAAGATGCTCAGGTTTGCTTGTCTCTCTAAATCTATCCACATATCTGTGAACTCTTTTGTAACGTCTTTATGTATATACAAACCATTTTCTGGCCTTTTACTTTTGTCAGGCTGCACTGGATCACCTTTCTCAGAGAACAGACATTGATACATCTAGAGTAGTTGTATTTGGAAGGTCCCTTGGGGGAGCTGTTGGAGCTGTGCTTACTAAAAACAATCCCGAAAAGGTAACATTGCTAGATATTCTTATTAGCAGCAGGTCTTGAGTAGAGAGAATATATTATTTAGGAGAGGAGAGAATGTAGTGGAAAATGTACTACTGTTATATGCACAATAACCTTATCCTTTTCTGGGAATGAAATTTGTAGATGCCTTTATTAAGTTAGTATTCTTTTCTTTTTTCTTCTTTTTGTTTCTACTTACAGTATTTCATTTGATCACGTCAAATAGTTATGTTTACCATTTTAAAATGTCTTTATATAGGTATCTGCATTGATTCTGGAAAATACTTTCACATCCATTCTTGATATGGCTGGTGTTTTGCTGCCCTTCTTGAAGTGGTTTATTGGAGGAAGTGGTTCTAAAAGCCTGAAACTCCTTAATTTTGTTGTACGCTCCCCCTGGAATACAATAGATGCTATTGGTGAGGTAAGATGCGATATACGCTCTTGCAGATTTATTTCAGAGATTCTTTTAGTTTACGGTTTCCATATGCCATAGAAATGACTCAAACAAGCGGATAATATTTTGATACCTTAAAGACCTTCCCAGGAAAATAAAAATAAAAATACTTAGGTACTGTATGAAGCCTTTGAAAATACCCCGTGCATTCGTATTCCTTTTTACGGGACAGAGTGTATATCGTTTACGGGATATGTTAGCGTCCTTTTCACTGTTGTAAACTCAAACTATTGAATTATTCACATATACTATATTGCTGCTTTATTGCTCTCTGATCTGTACTTAGGATTAAAACTTACAAAGGAAATAAGGGGGAGCTTGATCCTGCAAACCCCTGCAGGAAATGTGTTCTTGTTAGAAAACGTCCCATCATTTGAGTCTGTAGCAGCTCAGTGATAAGCTAATCTTGAAACAATAACAGGTCAAACAACCAGTACTTTTCCTCTCCGGACTACAAGATGAGATGGTCCCACCATTTCACATGAAAATGCTGTATGCTAAAGCGGCTGCCCGTAACTCTCGGTGCTCATTTGTGGAATTTCCAAGTGGGATGCATATGGATACATGGCTGTCTGGTGGTGACGTTTACTGGAAAACGGTCATGCAGTTCCTTGTGAAGCATGCGCCTGAGGAAAGGAAACAAGATACAGGTAAAACATTCTCTCGTGTTTGATTTTTTTAGATGCTTCTTGATATGTTTTGATGTTCTGTTCCCAAAGTGAAAACTCTAGGATTGACGTTGGTCTCTGATCTGACAGGAAGGTAACTAGTTGAGGATGCTGTGTTTAGAGGAAGTTTGGACTCACTTGGCTCCTTCTGCAAGACTGCAACCTAAAAACGTTTGTATCTTTATAAAGCATATGTGTGCGTATGTTGCATTTGGGAGTGACAGATACAACTTGTTCTGAGAGTGAGATGCTGGAGAGGTACTTTGTAAGCAAAACCAGCCAGTGAAGATGGTTTTTGTTTTTTGTTTTCTTCCAATACTTCACTACTGCTTCTCTTCTGATAATAACCTTTCATCTATATGATCATTGCTTTGTATATGACTAGTTGATTAAGAAAGTGCAAAGACACGGTTATATGATTAAATCTCGAGTTTGTTGTTTACGTCTGGTTTGTTATCTATTTTCTCGCATGTATGATGGCTGGTACTTGGCAAGTAAAAAATAATAGTATTGTAACTACCTTTTCTTTTCTGTTCTGTTTTTTGTTTTTTAATTGAATAAACTATATACCTACAAAATACGAGAAAATGTTATTTCCCAAACTTCAAATTAGTAAGTAATTTATCTAAACCATTTAAACTATGAAAAAGGTTGATGATAAAGAAAAATAAGCAATTATCTAAATAGGCAGTTGTGTTTTCCATATTCCGTTTGACTTTTAGATAAACATACATGGAAACAAACTTTCATTATTTAGTAAGTTTGTCAATTAAAAAGGAATGGGGGCAAAACAAGATTTGATTGTGGGGCACTAATTTAATGTTTAAAGATATTATATTCCCTTCCTCTGTTCAGAATTATTTGATGTTTAAGGTTTTTGCACATAGTTTAAGGATTTATTTAATTTTTATTTTTCCTATACTAAAAATATTATTTATAATCCATTTAAATATCATTCAGCTAATAAGAAGACAATCTACAGAATATAAAAGGTCAAAAACTATAAAAATTTATTAAATTTTGCATTGAAAAGTGAAAACATCAAATAATTCTGAACAAAAAAACCTTCTAAAACATCAAATAATTCTGAACAGAGGGAATAGTAATTATCAAATTTTCACTAGGTACAAGTCCACTTTGCTTTAATTAGATTCGCCCATGCTTCCAACGATGTTTTGAATAGCCGAGTGAATTTAGTTTTTAGGAATAGAGTGACATCTATTTTGTCAATTGTATAACTACAAGCGAGGGTATCAAATCAATAAAGTTATGATTTTTTTTATTTATTTGGTAAATCATAAAATGGAAAAGAATTGTTGTGGCTAGATTTTGTTTTATCTATTTTGTCAATTGTATAACCTGTCACTCTCCACGGAGAACCTTTTCGTCTTCATTCAATAATTTTATTTTCTCTAATTATAAAGTTTGGTGCTTTATCACTTCAAAAAAAAAAATCTGCTTTTTCAAAAAAACCCAAAGCTTGGTGCCGCTCTTTCATCGTTTCAGAGAGAGAGAGAGTGAAAGTGTAGGGACTGGAGATGGAAGGAGGAGGTGCGCAATACAACCCTCGAACTGTCGAAGAAGTCTTTCGAGATTTCAAGGGCCGTCGTGCTGGCATCGTTCGAGCTCTCACCACCGGTCTTCTTCTTCTCTTCTCTTCGCTTTTTTGTTTAGCTTGAATTTTGTATATGGATTTTAAATGTTCTCATGGAAGTTCTTCTCACGACGATCGTTTGGTATCTGATTCAGACGTTTGATTGACCAATTATGCTCTGGTGTTGTGTTGCTCCACGATTTAAGAATAATATTCTGATTGATTCACTTGTTATTTCCCCCTTTTTTTTGGCAGATGTGGAAGACTTTTTCCAGCAATGCGACCCTGGTTAGGGTTTTTCTCTCTCTCTCTCTATCTAGCCTTAAATATGCTTCCGTGATATCCTCTTCACATTTTATCCCTTTCTCAAAGCTGCTTCATTTATTATGAATTTCTTTTGTACTGTATAGTACTGTATCATTATGCAGATGTGGTTAATGTTCAGCTTGCTTCTAGTTTCGATGTTCCGTAGAATTATTTTCTGTAATTTTTCTTGTCTGATTTGCGGAATTGACAGCTTAAAACTGAGATGGCAACAGAGCCTTAACCAAATCAATAGTGACACTGAAAATTACATTATCTTGCTCTTCTGCTTTACTTTTGTTTGGTATTGGTGACTTGATTATATTGAATATTTGATCACTGTTTCTTTCTAGTTCCGTGATTTGGTCTCTCCATGGATTATAAAGTTTTCGCCTTTGGTGCTGTTATCTTTCTTCGTATAGCTTTAGCTCTTGATATTTGGCTTCAATGTCACAACCACACATGATTTCTCTATCAAGAAACACCATCTGCTGAGTCTTGCCTTTGTAGCAAAAGATCGTTTATTTCATGTCGTAACTTTCTGTGCTAGTTGAGTCTGGTTGAGAAACTGAAGTTTTTGTCCCGTGACTATTTAATGACGTATCAGAGAAGGAGAATCTCTGCTTGTATGGATTCCCAAATGAAGTGTGGGAAGTTAACTTACCAGCTGAAGAAGTTCCTCCAGAGCTCCCTGAACCTGCACTCGGCATTAACTTTGCCAGAGATGGAATGCAGGAAAAAGACTGGCTTTCTCTTGTTGCTGTACACAGTGATGCATGGTTACTTGCTGTGTCCTTTTACTTCGGTTCAAGATCTGGTTTCGATAAAGCTGACAGGTATCAACCTTTCTTCCTTGATTTGTCTGTATTTCCTTCTAACCTGATGTTTATTGTTTTAGATTTTCTCTGCTCATTTCCCTACGATTTTCATGGCATCTCCAGCATTTCCATACTAACTGGTACACTTACCAATTCAGGAAGCGCTTGTTCAACATGATAAATGAGCTGCCTTCTATATTTGAAGTTGTAACTGGAAATGCGAAAAAACAAACAAAGGAAAAGACCTCTTCAGCAAATCAAAATGGCAACAAATCCAAGTCAACTTCAAAAGTGGTAAGACTCATGCTGTCTTTTAATAAGATTCAGAACGTATTTTCCTATATTTAACCACTAAGAACAAACCAAACTAAAGAATACTACCATGAATTCTAGACATCCGCTACTTTCCTAAACCCCTTTCTCAACTCAATTTTTCGCTCTTATCACCTTTGCTTCTGTTCATAACTTCTCACACATTACACTAACTGTAACTGACCTAAGCTGTTAGTTAGTTGAGCTGGTAACTCAACTACAATCATATGAAAAAAAGGTCTACGATAGTTATAGACTATATCCTGAAAGTATTGCGGAAATATCTCTTGTGCCAGACTTAGACTTTCTGAATAGCTTCTTTTCGGATACTCAAAGCTTCTTCATTCGTCTACTCTTATCATCTTTTTTTTTTCTTTTTTTTTGTTGCAGTTTTCAGAAATTAGGAATGGTTAAATGGATATCTGAAAAAGCACAGCACTGGCATATGTTTTTCTCATCGTAAAGGGTTCAACCAATATATGGTTTTGTTCATACCAATCATTACATAATCTTGGAAGTCTCTTTAGAGAATAGCCGCTGCACAATTCAGTTACATCTTAACAGAACACCAAAATTATTACCTTGCTTTCTAACTCTTTAAAGACACTTTTGGAAGTATTTTAACATTACAATTTATGGTTAAACTTTATAGTTTATGAAAAGTTTTTTTCCCTCTTTTATCATCACTACATATACTTATGTGTCTGATAACCCATAACCATATTTGCATATGGTTAAATGATCAGAAGCTGAACTTTGTTGCACTAAGGTTTCTAGTGTAGCTTTCCTACTTCTCTCTTATTCTGCTTACCTGAAGCATTGCTCAACACACATTTTTGTTCCTCAAACATATTTTCATTATATGCACCGTAAGTAGTAAGATCTTTCACTGTTTGCTACTGAGCTTCTAAAAAGATAGACTGAACACAATCTTCTTACTCAACTGTAGTTTGTGAATCTTTGGAATAAGAAATCTCTAGGTTTGAGGTAGAACAAAGACGAGCAATGTCTTCAATTCTAATCGCTGGTTCTGTAATTCGAAGAGGCTGTTGGAATTACTAGATCAGCATGTACTGAAATGGCCGAGTTATCTTAAGTTTCCGATCCAATGACAGTTGTTGATTAGTTTTCTTGAAGGTTTTTGTTGTAAAACATTTATTTGAAGTTTACACTTGCTATTATGGTGTACCCGTGTAGTTAATATTTTCCTTGGTCCGGAATGCAGAGAGGTTTAGATGGCAAACACTCAAGGACAATGCAGGTCAAGGACGAGGAAGAAGGAGTCGAGGAAGAGGAAGAAGATGAAGACGAACACGGTGAAACCTTGTGTGGAGCTTGTGGAGATAACTATGCTTCTGATGAATTCTGGATTTGTTGTGACATGTGCGAGAAATGGTTCCATGGGAAGTGTGTTAAGATTACTCCAGCTAGAGCGGAGCATATCAAGCATTACAAGTGCCCTTCATGCAGCAACAAAAGAGCACGATCCTAAATGTTTTATCCCACATTTCCACTAGTCTTAGCTATCCGTCTCTCTATCCCCCAAATTGTACAATGCACTTTATGTCTGTTTGTTTTTAAGACGCAGCTAGTTCGAAGCATGTCTAAATTTGATTCCTCGTTCTAACTTTGTATAACTCAATTTGTAGTCTATGATAAGATATGTTGCACAAGGCTATGATCAAGCTGTTTATAATCTGCGGAACCCACTACAAATCTCATACAACTGGAAAAATTGAATTGTTTACACCTGAACATAATAAAGACAGTGTTCGCAATTCTTCCAACAATATGCAACTTATAGTTCAGCTCTTGTGTTTCCGGAAACACCAAGAAGCTTGGCTAGTTCCCCGCTCTCATGTGCATCTACAGTATCTGAAAACCAGAACAAATAACAATAAACAAATCTATCAATCAGCAAATGTTTTCATAAGCAAATACATTTTCTTAAAGGAGAAAGAGAAGGCGAAAGTAAGTTTTACCGTCTGATCCTCCGATGTGCTTTCCGTTGATGAAAACCTGTGGTACTGTTCGCCTTCCAACAATCTCTCCAAGTGCACTCTGGATGCTCCAACCATCTTCTGCAAGACCCAATTTTTACTATATTTAATTCTCAAATCTCTCAATCATTAGTCACAAATGAATCTTCTATATACATATATTGATCCTTGAAAGTTTCGAATAACAGATAAGAAACATAGTAGGATGAAATGATTCACTTTGATCTTAAAACGCACCTCTTTCGTCAAGCTCTACAACATGAGGAACCTGATCTAGCTCCTTGAACACAGATTTTGCTCTCCTGCAATACCTGTTGACCAACCAAGGATTCATAGTCATATATAGGTACGTGATCTTCTCACTGCATAACTCAAAAGAGGACAGCAAGATAACAAAGACACAACACATAATTGAACTCTCACATGTCGAGAACAAAATCCAACTTGATTACATCTTAGCTCAACATCATGTTCAAACCAATGAGTAAGTCACATAAATCCCAATCCACCGAATGCAATACAAAAAAGCTGAGCCACGAAGATGAAATTCATTGGATTAAAGTTAGACACAGAGTCAGATTCATTGGAGCCATCAAAGTATACTATAACGAGTATTCACTCTAGTTTCAGCTGATATGATCTTAAAATAAAAACGCAAAATTAAAGGCACCCAAGATCCAATTTTTTTTTCCAGAAAATAGGACGATCAGTGATTGAAAAGAGCCAGAGAGTGAGAGACAGAGAGAGACGTACGGGCAGTAGGATTTGGAGAAGATGACGATCTTGTGGGAAGAGATGGTCTTCTGAACAAAGTCGGCTTCTGGGGATGAAGCGGACGAAACCATAGAAATGGATGAAACTAGAGTGACGAGCAACATTGCCATCGCGATAGATCTGATCATTGCCATGGCTCTCTTCTTCTTCTCACTCAGATGCGAATCGCAGGATCAATACTGTAGGTGTGAGCAATTTGTAAGTAGAGGTGACTAATCCGGATTCAACCTAATCCGGTCTGACCCGGCCAATTCCGGGTCGTATTAAAGCCAATTCGGGTCTCTGCCTTTGATTCAACTTTAAAATATTCAAACAAGACAATGTGTTTTTGGAAATATTTTGTATTTTGTTTGTTACAAGTCTAATTGGCTAAAGCTTAAAGCAAGTCCACGCACTTTTGGAACTTTGTGATGATTTTCTGCAGAGGTTTAAACACAATATAACTGCCATTGATTCCTCTTAGCTGCATTAGAACCGATATTAGCTTCTTCTTACCTTACACTTGCTTGTTTTGTTTGCTTGAGTTGGAGTCTCAAGTTGCTGAAAACAAGAGAGGGAGAGTTGTAAGGCTGAACCTCTCCGGATTTAAATTGGCCGGTGCGATACTGCGAGCTCATATCACTTAATCTTGCAGATAACTCTTTTGGTAGTATCATCCCTCGAGAGGTGTGGGAATGCTATTTAGGCTTCATTTCTTGAACATGAGCTTTTAATCTTCTTGATTCCTCCTTTAGAACTATGTTCGCTTTCTAAGCTTGTCATTATGTATCTTGCTAATAACAACCTTACGGGAAAGTTCCACTCGTCTTTGAGAAACTTGACTTTGCATATAAGTATGAGCCCACTTAAAGAGGGACACACACAAAGGGTGTGTTTCTGCTTCTGCTTCTGCTTCATCGTAAAAGAACACCATTGGGAGTGGATGAGAAGGCTATTATATTCCAAGACTAGTATAACCTACTTTGTGAATCTATCTTTGTAGGCATAAACATTTTCACTATTTGCGCTTTCTCTTTCACCGTATCCCCACGGCCAACAATTTGGTTTTGTAGTTCGATATGCCAAATATAGTTTGATATCCCGCATTCTAGTTGCTAATTTCCCAATTACAAACCCATTTAATTTAATGTTTCTTATGATTATTATTGTTTTATTGTTATATTTAATCTTAAATCTAACTTAAGTCCATGTACATTATTAAAAAAGAAAGAAAAACCAACTTTTTGAGTTGAATATAATATTAGTGTTCATATATACCAAAGACTACATTAGGAATGATTACAACTATACCAAAATGAGTTGTAATTTGATAAATAAACATCTAGATACATTCCAATAAAGAAACACTTTTGCTCAAATGTTTTGGTATCCATTATTATTAGCAATGAACACCTCTTTCATCAATCGCTGTGGACTATTACATCACTCAAAAATCTGAGATTTAAAGCTCGTGACCTTCAAATTTGAACATATCGCGTATCTCTTGCGATATAGAAGATTTATATTACACAAGCTAGTATTAGAAGTCTTAACATCAACATCTAGCTACTAGCGGGGTCAATTTGTTTTCCCCTAAAACAAGTTATCCACAAATTAATCATACATTATCCAAAGTCCGTTGAAATAAGAGTCAAAGCATTTTAAATTTTAGACGTTGTTCACAAGTTCTAATCCCAGAAGGAATGTCAAAAATAAGAATAGCTCATCAAATTCAAAAAATATTTCTACATCCCGAAAGCTATTAGATAGAGTAACGGATTAGGAACAATATTTTATTTCACTTTTACTCAAATATATATATTTTTTCAAATTAAAAGACTATTTTTTTGGTTGGAGAAAAAGGGCATGGAAGTGTAAAAATAAGCAAGTTAGAGTCAAAGCATTTCAATTTTTAGACGTTACTCACAAGTTCTATCCCAGAAGGAATGTCAAAATAAAAAGAGAAATTCCTCATCTAAATTTAAAAATATTTCCACATCCCGAAAGCGATTAATAGAGTAACCAATTAGGAACAATATTTTATTTAATTTTTTTTTCAAATTAAAAGACTATTTTTTTGGTTGGAGAAAAAAAGGGCATGGAAGTGTAAAAATAAGCAAGTTAAAGGCCAGAGACAAAAAATAACGAAGTAAATTTAATTTCTGTTGTCTGTCTATTTCTTACAGATTCGGCTGCGTTTGTGGGTGGCTGACCACGAATGTCCAACTCGATCCACCTCCCTCACACCGTCCCTTATAAGTCTAAGTGGACCCCACTTGACCAATCTCAATTCTCAAGCACCCCAAAAAAACATTTTTTCCGAATATACAATAATTAAAAAAAAGTGTTAGAGAGAGAGAGAGAGAATGACACAGCTCAAAAGAAAACATTGCTCGAGGAGAGAGAAAAAGCCATAGACGTCTGCAAGAAGGCCAAGTCCCAGCTTCTTCTTCAACATCTGTTTCCACAGCTTTCTAGAGAGAGAGAGAGAAAACATACCGATTCAGCTTTAGAAAGATTTAGTATCTGCTTTGTTGTTTGTCTGATTTTTTCCCTGTCATCCGATCTTCCGATTTTTCCGTGTCTGCTGTGCTGACTCCGAGGAGAATTTTCCGACCACTAATCTAGAATCTGCCCGATCTGACTCGCCCAGTTGCCTGACTCGCTGAGTCGACGTCCTGCAAACTCGGTCTCTCTTGGATGAGCTAGTAGGAAAGGGAGGATCTATTGGGGGGAAGAGTCGCCATGGTATTCATGACATCTTCTTCCTTTCTCGGTTGCTTGCTTTATTCTGTTTTGTTTAATGGTTTATTGGAATTGATCAAGCAAACAGGATTGATTTTCGACAATTTTTTTGTTTGTTTCATTTGATTTGGTGTTCGTTGGTATAGAGATCTTCGTCTGAGATTTGCGTTTGGTTGTGGATACAAAGTTCCTTTTCTTGTTAAGTTCTCAAAATAGAGGAGTGAATTCTCCTTAGATTTTTACTCTATTGGGAAATGTTGGAAGAGTTTAAGGGTTATGCAACTTTGATCCTTCTTGGGAAGTGAATATCCGGATACAATTTAAATGGCATAATAGAGAAGTTGAATGAATGTTTTTGGGGAACATTGCAAAGTGTTGTTGGCAGGTAAGGTCCAAGTTCTATAAGACTTTGGACCATCCGAGTTATATCATTTCCTATTACATTTTCTTAGCGGCTCTCATAATTTTAGATATGTTTTTTTAACTTCTATTATTAGTTGCTCTGAACCTGCCTAAGATAGCATGTCGTAATGAGGTCATCTAAGCTTCTATGTTAGACTGTCTTCTTTATCCAAGGCTGAAGATATAAATTTGCAAGTTTTATAAGATTTATTTGCTTGATGTGCTAGATTCATTAGAAGGTCGCCAGGTTCACATTCCACTTACTATACATTGGACAGTGTACCTGCCAACAATCTGATTTTTTTTTAATGCTCATAGAATGCTTTCTTCAGTGGTTCTGATATTTTTACATGCATATTTCTTGTATAAGTTATAATATTATATTTAAGCATGGTTCTTATGCTTCCTACCTCTATCGTTTATTCAAGAGGATCATTGTATTACTAAACATTACAAATTATTTTAGGCCTCTCTTCCTCACTGATAAAGTATAGTTTCCCTCAATTCATATTAGAACAACAGCTTGTGTGAGGTTATTGATATATCTTTACCTCACACGTTCACTCTTTATATCCTGTAGGTTGGCCCAGTCAATATAATAGTTGGTTCTCATGTTTGGATTGAAGATCCAGGAGTGGCATGGATTGATGGAGAAGTTGTCAAAATTAATGGCGAAGAAGTTCATGTACAGACCACAACTGGGAAGACTGTAAGTTGTCTATCATCCTGCGATGTTTTTGCATTAAATTTTCCTTTTGAGAAAGAATATCACTGGATAGGGTGTTTCTACGTAGGATGTCTGTTTTCCTTGGCAAAAAATGTCACTACTACTATTACCTCTTTCCCCTTAGATACTTTTTGCTTCTCTAACATATGAGTTTTGCATTATTTTGCATGACATTGACATCCCTGTTCCGTAAATCTATTACAATCACTGAAACCAGATATTGTATTAAATAGTCAATCATATTTAATTTCAGGTTGTGGCCAAAATCGCAAACGTATTTCCAAAGGATACAGAGGCGCCCCCTGGGGGTGTTGATGACATGACAAAGCTCTCATATTTACACGAACCAGGTGTTTTAAATAACTTGGCCATGAGATATGAGCTGAATGAAATTTATGTAAGTAATTTTGCATTTTCTGCGCTGAGTACGAATGAAATCCCATATTTAATTTCTAAGTAGTACATTGTCCTAAGCTTTTCCATTAAATTGTCTTTGCAGACATATACTGGAAATATCTTGATTGCTGTAAATCCGTTTCAAAGGTTACCACATCTATATGATACTCATATGATGGAGCAGTATAAAGGAGCAGGTTTTGGGGAATTAAGCCCCCATGTGTTTGCAATTGCAGAAGTTGCCTACAGGTAATTAGGAACAATCAATGATTCCACTAGCAGAAATTCGTTTATGCACTCTTTATTCGTACATTGTCTCATGCTGGTCTATTGCTTCTCTGGGTAGGGCGATGATCAATGAGGGCAAGAGCAACTCAATTCTGGTTAGTGGGGAAAGTGGCGCTGGTAAGACTGAGACCACAAAAATGCTTATGCGCTACCTTGCTTACCTTGGTGGTCGATCCGGCGTTGAAGGAAGGACAGTGGAACAGCAAGTTCTGGAGGTGAGACCTTACAAATCTATGTTAGATATTATATTAATACATTTATAGAGAGTCTTGTAATGCTAGCTTGATTAACACTTTGGTTTTGTTGTTGGTATACAGTCAAATCCAGTTCTTGAAGCTTTTGGAAATGCCAAAACTCTCAGGAACAACAACTCCAGGTATGTGTATGTTCACTGAGAGGTTCTTTCCTACGAATCTTCTCTTTAAATGTTGTTGTGAGTTGCACAGTCAAATTTGTTCTTGGCTCCCAGTTTCTTCAGTCACTACTTGTCAAAAAAATTGTTTTGTAACCAAGAAACCAGCACAGATGACACATAAGAAAATTGATTCACATATAAAACACGTTAAGCTCTTGGCCAACTACATCTGTAAAGTGAAGGATTATTTTTTTTTCCAATCAACTCAATAGTTATACTATCCTACGTGATTGATTATTGTGTTAGAGAGTTATTCTAATGGCTTCTTCATAGAAGCG